CATGTTTTTCTTTAGATTTCTGAATGGAATATGTGTCTTACACTTGCTGTGTTTCTTTAATGTGGTGGTTTGGTTCTGGGAGACCCCTCTTTCTCCCCACTCCCTAAAAATGTTATTTAGCTCATGATAAATCTTTCAACTGATGGCATTTCAGCCCTGGGGGAAATACGATAAATGGATAGTGTAATCAGGACATCTGGAGATTATGTTTTAACCCAAAGGAGTAACTCTAATGGGAAAAATTGTAGGTTGTCTATTGATGGGGATATTTTGGGATGTCAGTGTTGTTCAGACGTCCCTGATCATTGGCTTGTCATGGCCTGGATATCTACCCTAAGAACGTCCCTCTTCTGGTGTTAGAGACCAAATACAGCAGCTATTATCTGCTACTTTCACAGACTCCCACATGACATGGGGCTGAGAGAGGCTGGGGACCCCAGAATGGGTGTTTCTTGGCTTCAATTCCCTTCTGAGCAGGGGTGATGAGACTGAGAACCCTCTGTGGATGGAGATGACAGGGGAGAGGGACACAAGGCCCGGAACGGCAGTCAGAGGACCTCTGCAGCTAGAAATTTCCTAAAATATTATGGGACAAACAGATACTTTGGCTCACCCTTCTCCTGCTGTCCATCCTAGAGAGAGGGCACCTGTTCTCACTTCGCAGTGCATCAACTGGAAGGCACAGGTTCCAGGAGAGTGGAAATTGCTCCAGGTGAGGAGAGTCTGCCCTCTTCCTAATGGGCTTCCATAGAAACCTGAAGGCTCCCCGTCATGGGGTGGGCACCCTCATGCCAGGATGCTGGCCAGCCGTGCCTGACCTGTCCCTGCCAAGCCGTAGTATTAAAACCCAGAGCTCACCTGGGCCCTACTTGCCACTCTCTGTCCCTCTCAATTTCAAACCAGTTTGCCTTCAACCAGCTTCAGTGCATGAGTCCCCTTGAGCCACTGATTTTCCCTCAGTCCCTCCAACAGTCAGTCAACAGGTCTTCACTGAACGCCAGCTCGAGTGAGGTGCGTGGGGATCCAGAAACAGTAAGACACGAAGCTCAGCCAGCTGGGGGTGGCGAGTGTGAAGAAGCAGCTCAAGGTAGCCAGCACCAGGTGCCAAATGTGTGATACAGACAGGGCGTTCTACAGGAATTCAGAGGAAGAAGGCGTCCCTGGGGCTGGCGGGCAGGGGAGGCATTCTTGAGAGAGTTGAGAGGTGACCTTTAAAGACTGGGAAGGCAGCTGGCAAGGCGTGAGCAAAGGCCCCTCAATGGGAATGTGTGTGGCGTGTCTGGAGTTTTGAGTAGACTGACGTGGGTGGCTGGGGCAGGGCTGGGTGGGGTTAGTGGGGTCCAGAGGATGGAGCTAATACGAGGCTAAGGGGTGTGCATCTAAGCAATGGGGATCTCCCCTTTTGAAGGCAGACCAGTTAGCAAACTTGGCTAAAATGCTTTGCTCTGTGTATGGGGTTGGCTTTCTTCCTCTGGGACGGCACTGTCCAATATGGAAGCCATTAACCATGAGTAGGCTATTGAGCCCTTGGAATGTGGCTGGTCCAAACTGAGATGTATTATAAGTGCAAAACATACACTGGATTTTGAAGACTTAGTCCAAAAAAAAACCAATGTAAAATATCTCAGTAATATTTTATATTGAGTACATGTTGAAATAATAACATATTGGATATATTGAGTTATGTACCATATATTATTAAAATTAATCTCACCTGATTCTTTTTACTTCTTTAGAGGTGGCTACTGGAAAATTTACAGTTATATACGGAGCTCACACTATGATTCTTTTGGACAGTGCTGAATTGGATTCTTTACAATATCCTTTTTCTAGCCTACTCCCTTTCTCTATGGTCATCCCTGCCTTTCACTTCTTCTCCTCAGCTTTCAACAGCTCTCCTCTCCTGTTCCTGCCTTCTTTCCTTCTGTTACGTTGGCCTTCTCCTTCTCTTTTTATGGTCACAAGTGACGATAGATGGTGGAAGGAGGGAGGAGGGGTAATCAGGCCACAGCCCCTGGACTCATTGAAGTCAGAATTCACCAGGCAGAGAGGCCCTACTTATCAGGCACACTTGTGGGACTTAAGCTTCTAGATCATTCTTTTCTGGTTCACTTGAGGGCAATCAGAAATTCTTTTTATTTTCATTTGGTTTTGCAAATATTTATCTTTAAAATATTTAACAAAAATCTATCAATGACATGCACGTCATTTACAAAGTCGAATAGCACCAATATAAGACACAATATAAGAATTTAGTAAAACCGCGATTGTCTGCTCCTTGCTCTCCCACCACAATCCTACTGCCTGAAGCTCGACACTTCCAACTCTCCCTCGGGTATTTATTTCCTGAAATACATAAACTACTAAGTCAATTTATAAATACATTCTTATACTGACATTTATTGATTTTTCAACTTTGATGTCTATTTTCTTATTATGGAGGAAATGTCTTTTCTGTGAAATGTCTTTTCTGTTTAATATTAATGCTTGTTTTGTTATTAATATATAAATATTGTTCACTGCTGAGCCAAGTAGTGCATAAAAATTACACTTTCTTGCACAACTTTTTCTCTTCATGGAGGTAAATAATTACTTGCTTTCTATGACATTTTTACAAATTCTTACCAAATTCTCTATGAAATTGTAAAATTCCTTCAAACACTATTTTCATGTGGCCAAATCTATTGGTAATCCTAAATTTTCCATCCCCTGGCCCCAGATACCCTCTTGGAATGCCCACCGACCTGCTCCCTTGAATGATGCCAGAGCCCCTGCACAGCTGAATGGGAAACCCCACCTCTTTCAGGGATCACCTCCAGTTCTTTGTTCCTCTCTCTTGGTTTGTGTCAGTACATTTTTGAGAAAGGGTGCTGAGCAGGTTATTTTTTTGAGTCCCTGAATGTTTGAAAACGTCTTTCATCTATTCTCACCCTTGATTAATAGTTTGGCTGGGTATAGAACTCTAGATTGAAAATCTTTTTTTCCCCCTTAGTCCCTTGAAGGCAGTTACTCTACTGTTTTCAAGTTTCTGATGATGTTCTTGAAAAATCTCATGCTGTCTTGCTTCCTGGCCCTTTGTATGGCCCCTCTTTGTTTTCTCTCTGGAAGGTGTTAGAATCGTCTCTCTGCCCCCACTGTTTGGACATTTCACAGTCAGATGCCTTGGTGTAGGGTTCTTCCCCCATCTATTTTGCTGGAAATTCAGACCTTCTGTGCTGGGAAATAGTTTTTGCAATTTTTTTCATAGTTTCCTCCCCATCATATCCTCCGTGCTTTCCCTCTTACTAGTCAAATGTGGAATCTTCTGACTGGATCATTCACTGTTGACATCATTTTTCTCCTATTTCCCTTCTCCCTGTGTCCTTGCTCTCCCTCCTGAGAAATTTCCAACCCTCATATTTAGAACTTCCAAGAGCTCTCTTTCTTATTTCTCATTACTCCTTTTAAAAGAGCTTCTCGTTGTTTCATGGATCCAACATCTTATTTCCCTGAGGACATTAATTATAGTGTTTTGAAGTTTATATTTTCCTGGTCCCTGTATTACCTCTGTTCCTCTGAGCTCCTTCTCTTTTCTTTTGCTTTTAGTTTGGTACTTTTTCTTTTCACTTTGTAATCTTCCTCAAGAGACCGGTCACCCTTGGGCTGTCTGTTCATACTGAAAGGTAGGTCACTAAAAGCTTCCAGAGGCTGTGTGTGTGTGTGTGTGTGTACTTTTCAATTTATGGGCTTCATTACAGATTGGCCACTTTGGGCCACAACTATTTTATTGGGGTACTCCTAACCAGAAGTATCTATACAGCTCTTTCTGGAGCAGTTTCTAGACCAGGGCTGTGGAGGGTGCAGGCAAGGGGCATAAGGTGGCAGCATTTTCAGAACCAGGTGGTCAAAAGGGGCAGGGGTTTCCAAATTTCCATGTATGTGGTACTGCACCCCACCCTCCTCTGTTGGAGCTTCCCTGGCTCAGTTTCCCTGCAAAATGCCAGGAAGAGGGAGGGGCAGTGGTCAGGGCCCTGGATGGAAAAGGGGAGAAGCCCTGGGCAGAACTCCTTCTACACAGACTTGTAGTCAGCCTTTCAGTTCTCACTCTCTCTCCTGCCTTCCAAAGTAGCCACTGCCTTCACCTCCTGAGTCTTCCAGCACGTGCGCAGGATCTGTCCACTTCTTGTTGACCTCCCCTTCAGTAGGCACTTGATTTCCAATTTCTCAGCTCTGCTGATTCCCTCATCTGCTTTCCATCTTCCAAAAATCTGTTGACATCTGTTGCCTGCTGATGTCACCTCTCCTGTTCTCTCTGTCCTTGTCTATCTTCTCTTTATTCCTTTGCTCTCATTTCAGTGGGGTTAGGGAAAGAGCAGACAGTGTTGAACCTGCCATGTTTAGCAGGAAGTCTCTGCAAGCCTCTCTAAAATGCCGAAATTAAAGGACTGCTTGCATCATCAAAGGACTCCAGTGCCGAGAGCTGGATCTTTGCTCACAGAGAACTTATAAGGCTTTCTTGTCATCAAGCTCAATTTTATTTAGAAAAGTAGTGGAGACTAGATTAAATGTCACCTAAGCCCAGCTTATTCCTGGAAATATTTGCTTTGAAGTAGATTATAATAGTATTAACAAATTATTTAATTATTATTTAAATAAAAACTATTTTGCATGATTAGTTTTTTCTTAAAACTGAATGGAAAACAACTTCTGCTTGTTTTCTTTCTAGAAGTTAGGGCTCCCTACACCTGGGTCCTGGCTAGCCAAGATTTCAGTGTAGTTCAGAGCTTGGCTAGGCTGGACTCAGTTTTCTCTAGGTGGCATCTATTAAAAAAGATCCTGGAGCCGGCCTGGTGGTATAGCAGTTAAGCTTGCATACTCTGCTTTGGCAGCCCGGGGTTCGCTGGTTTGGATCCTGGGTGCAGATCCATGCACCACTTATCAAGCCATGCTGTGGCGGCATCCTACATATAAAATAGAGGAAGATGGGCACAGATGTTAGCTCAGGGCCAATCTTCCTCAGCAAAAAGAGGAGGATTGGCAGTGGATGTTAGCTTAGGGCTAATCTTCCTCAAAAAGAAAAAAAAGATACTAAAGTCAATGAGGTTACATGGGAGGAGTCTAATTCAAGAAAGCCAAAATGCCTTCACAGACCTTAAAAATCTGTTCATAAATATGTTAATTTTAAAAAGGGATGCTTATCTATTAATTAAATATTAATTATCTATTAATTAATCCTCCCCCCCTCCAACACATATACACACAGAGCCCTTACTTGGCAGCCTTAAAGATGACCACGTGTATATAAAAGTGAAGACACTTCTGTGTTCTAATGAAAGGCTTGAGTTGCACCAGCTGCAGGGTGTCCCCAGGGCGGGACAGGTCTGTGGGGTTGGGGTGCAGCGCTGGTCCTCATGGAGCTTTCTCTGTCTTCGCCTCTCCAGGTGCCCCCTTTCAAAGGTCTCAGCATCCGCACGCTACCTCCTGCCGCCACTTCCACCTGGGCCCCCCGCAGCCGCAGCAGCTCGCGCCCGACTTCCCCCTGGCCCACCCCGTGCAGTCGCAGCCGGGCCTCAGCGCCCACATGGCCCCGGCCCACCAGCACAGCGGCGCCCTGCACCAGTCGCTAACCCCGCTGCCCACCCTGCAGTTCCAGGACGTCACAGGTCCCTCCTTCCTACCTCAGGCCCTGCACCAGCAATACCTCCTGCAGCAGCAGCTCCTGGAAGCCCAGCACCGCAGGCTCGTCTCGCACCCCAGGTGGGTGCTGCCTGGGGAGGGGGCGGGGTGAGGAGGGCTGGGGGCGGGGCTTAGGGCAGGACACCGGCTTCTAGCCCCCCAGGCGTGGCCCGGAGTCACCAACTGGGTCTCCGCGCAGGAGGCAGCTTTTGCTCCCCTTAGAGGCATTCATTTCAGGCAGTGATTGCTATCGTGACCCTACACGGACTCCCTCCAAAGCTAGCGTGTCTCTGTCGCATCACCCAGGTGGAGGGACAAGGGCTGGGTAACTGGTGGTCTATGACGCTCGCATGGACTTTTGCACCATGTGAGAGATTTGACTAGGGGACCCCTCACGTCCCCTCTAGCTTGATGATCACCTGGTTCCAACACCCAGCATCCCTAAGCGATACCAAAGGACGGTCTGCTTGGAGAGACCAGCTATGAAACAAGTGCAGAGTAAAGTTAGAAGACCCTAATCAAATGGGTCTGAAGTAGTTGTGGGACTCCAGGCAAGTCGCTTCACTTCTCTGATCCTCCTCAGCTGTCAAGAGAGAGTTGGACTAGATCAGTGGTTCTCAAACAGTTTTGTCTCAGGACCCTTTACACTCTTAAAAATTATTGAGGGAAACAGTGAGCTTCTGTTTATGTGGGTCATGACCATTGGTACTTACCATATTAGAAATTAAAACAGAGAATTTAAAAAGTATTTATTAACTCATTTCAAAATACAATAACAAAAGTATGTTAACACCAATAGTATCTTTTTCAAAGAATAGTTACATATAAATGTAGTGAGAAGAGTTAGTTTTTTTACATATTTGCAAATCTCTTTAATGCTTGGCTTAACAGAGGACAGCTGTGTTCTCACGTCTACTTCTGCATTCAGTCTGTTGCAGAATCACATGTCACATAGTTTCTGGAACACTCCACTGTTCCCTTGTGAGGGAACGAGAGTGAAAAAGTAAATGATATCATAGTAGTATTATGAAAATAGTTGGACCTCATGAATCCCATGAAGGAGGCTTGGGGACCACCAGGGTTGCTTGGCACACACTTTGCAAACCGCTGGACTACATGATCTCTAAGGCCCTAAGTGTCCATGTCTGTAGGGGTTGGGGTGCCTGGGACAAAAGGTGAGTGTTGTAGGACGTCAGAGGGAGGAGGTCACCATGATCTGGAGTTTTCAGGGAGGCCTTCCTGGAGGAGGTGGGCTTCGACCTGGGCCAGGAAAGCTGCGAGGCTTCCTTGGAGTTTGGGAAGAAGGATGAAGCTCTCTAGGCTGTGGGCTTGGGCTGGCTGGGGCTGCTCAGAGCTCCTGGGAGCCGGGCTGGCCCTGGGCAGCCCCTGATGCCAAGGACCCTTCCTCCCTTCCGGTGCAGGCGGAGTCAGGAGCGTGTGTCTGTCCACCCCCACCGCCTCCATCCAAGCTTCGACTTCAGCCACCAACTCCAGACGCCTCAGCCCAGGTATTTGGCTGAGGGCACCGACTGGTGAGTCTTTGGGGTCCCTGGGGGAGTAGGGAGGGAGGAGGTCTTACCTGATCCGTCAAGTTCCTGTTTCCTTCGCTAGAATGGTGCAAGACATCTGGTCCTGAAGCTCCAGCCTTTGCCCTGTCCCCAGCCACCCTCAGGGCCAGACGGCCCCCACCCAGCCTGGTTCCAGCAATTAGCTCAGACGTGGCTGGGGGCCATCATGTGCCCAGCCTGGGGCTCAGTGCACCTGGTCCTGTTAGGAAGGGGGGGGCAGGGATACAAAACATTCCCCAAGCTCAGTGAGGCCTGGGGACCAGTGCCCCCTGGGAGGAGGGAAGAAAGGAGCGTGTCCGGAGCTAGGGTGGCCAGGGAAGGAGCGGGTGGGCCTTGAGAGACCCACAAAGAGGTGCCAGGGTGTGCCAGCGAGGCAAAACACAGGCGGATGGAGACAGAGCCAGCTGGGTGGGAGGCAAAGCCTGGGGAGAGAAGCTGGGGAAAGAGGTTGAGGGCTTTGTTGTGATGTCTTTGTAGGTAACGGGCCCTTGTGAAGTCCTCCCACAATCCCCTGTGCTCAGGACAAAGGTCTTTGTTGCCCGGGATGCAGCGTTGCTTAGTTTTGGATGCTTGATCCTATCCGACTCTCTGATTCTAGCTCAGGAGAGGGCTGACCTAAACTGGGGTCAGATCCGAACACCCAAACACTTGAAAAAGACCTGCAGCCCACTGAAGCATTTGGAGGTCAAGGGCATCATGCCTGCAACTTATTTTTAAATACTTCATGGAGAAGTGTGTGTGTGGATGGATGCATGGATGGAGAGAGAAGGAAATGCAGAAAAATAGTGAAACGTTGACGCTTGGGGAATCTGGGTGAAGGGTATCTGGAAACTCTTTGTGCTGTTCTCGCAACTTTGAGGTCAAAAAAATTTTTTTTAAGAATGTAAAAACAAACAAAAACCCTCAATGGAAAGGGATGGATTATTTAAAAAAAATAGGCGTGCCGTTGTGTCATTTCTCAGCCATTCCGTCGGGCAAACTGGCTTAGTCAAGGGTGACTTACCGGACACCCAGGAATGATTCAAAAGCAGGGTATTTCTGCTTGATTTGATGCGAAAGGCACTTCCAGGTGCCGAAAATAGTTGTTTTAACATGTTCTGTTGTCTCCAGCCCACTCCTGGCTCTCAGGTACACTGTTAAACCACATACTCCCTAAAAAGATAGATTGTGCTCAGGCCAATTTCAGCCCGGCCTTTTTCTCATTAGCAGATTCAAAAGTGGAAGATTTAATAGCAGTTTGGACTGAATTCTGTCCCTCAGCAGGCAGGTCAATGGAATTTAACTCAACTCAGCCCCCACGGAGCACCCAGGGCCCTTGCACAGGGCTGAGTGATCTGAACGAACAAACAAGGGCCAACGTGGCCAGTGGGACAGGACAGGTGACATAGGAGAGAGTGCTCCTGGGGAGATGCCAGGAGGAGCAGAGCAGCCGTTAGCCCTGTCAGCTCTCTTTATTCAGCCCAATCTCCTGGTCTTTCTCGCTCGTTTCAATCATTCTGCGTTCCTGACCCCCGCTTGCCCCAGACACATAAAGACTGAGGCCCTGAAAGGCTGGTCTGTGTCCCAGCAGGGGACGCTGGGAGGCCCCCGCCCTGCCTGAGTCCCGTCCATCTGGGTCCACCCCTGGGCCGTTTCTGCCTGTCCCATCTCCGCTTCCTAAGAAGGAAGCCTTTTCCAGAGGAGGAGCAACAATTTCTCCTGCCTTGTAATTAGGTCTGCTCCAGCAAGGGCCAGCCTCGTGGTGACGAGGGCCTTTTTGTCATTGTGATCATGCTAAGTGCATCCCACCACTCTTTTCCAGAGAGGCCTCTTCTGCCAGGAGGTGCGCAGTCTGGAAATTAGATGACAGAAATGCATGATAGGATGGACCACTCCCCTCCCCGCAAGGAACCCTGGGAGGGAGGAGGTGGGGAGAGTCTGGCAGCAACCCCCCCCACCCCCCCCCAACCCCGTGCTTAGAGAACCGTCAGAAACCACTGAATTCTGTCCTAGGTCGTTCTAGGAATTGAACCAGATATAGGCCGCAAGATGGTGCAAGATGCCCTTTTGGGGCAAGCTTCCTAGGAAGCATCTAAGGGTCTGCGTAGCAACCAGACCACACTAAGCCTCGAGGCCATCGACAGTGGAAAATAAAGCTCAGTTTGATGTTTAGACACAACTGACAAAAACTGTGCGTTGAGACGATGTCCACAAGAAGTCTCCAGGGCACCGTTCTGGGTAACCCCGGGACTTGAGGCCTGTGGGTAGTTCTATGACCCTTTCCAGACTCAGCCAGGTCCTCACAGGCTGGTGGGAACAGCAGGAAGAGACACTGCCTCTCTAGGGGCTGATGTCTTCTTGGGGCAAGTCCCCACCCAGGCTTCTTTAGGGTCCAAGGAGCATACCCTGTTCAGGGGTCCTGGGCGCAAGAAGGGATTTTCTGATGAGATGGTCAAAGGGGCATCCCAGAGCCACCCAGACCCAACCCCAGCAGGTCATCCCACTCATCTGAGGGCTGAAGCACCTTTGGCTTCTCCGGTCAGCATTCTTGGATTCAGGGCGACTCTGTTCCAAGTTCCTTGGGACTTTGCTTTTGGTTGAATTCCCTGAACATCTTCGCTGCTTTGGATTTGCTGGGCTCCCTGAGACTGCTGGTAAATGCTGACATGGGAGCTTCTCTCACAGAAGGGTGCCTTGTGGAACTCCTTTCCTTGGGGTAGGTCAATGGAATGAGCCCTGGCACGGGGCAGAAACCCTGGTGGCCCTAACCGGCTAGCCCAGGACCAAGGCTGCCCTTCTGCAGGCCACAGATGGGCCAGCAGAAACGAGCGGCTGGAGTAGAGGATTTCTGAGTTTGCCTCCAATTGGCTCCAAGAGTTTAGCTCATTTCTCAAATGACAGACTCATTGGAGTTATTCCAGGGATCCAGGCTAATATCTATAAGAAATACAGGAATATATATACATCATAACAAATATATATCATGGCTGGAAGCAGAAATTCCTTTAATACCCCTCATATATAAATATATATATATATAAAATGTCTTTGTTGCAGAAATCAGGCTGTTTTCCAGTAGAGTTTCCCCTTATCTGGATTTTGGTGGTTACACCATGGTAGTATCACTTAAGATGTCCCTCAGTTTCCATTGTTCTCCATACCCTGGAACTTAGATCAAGCCTTGAACAGATTCAGGTTCAGCTCTTATTTCTTGGCAAAAATACTTCATAGGTGCTGGTGCGTCTTCCAGCAGAAAGCTGGTGTCTCTCCTTTTGTGGTGTTAGCAGCAATTGATGATCCTCGCCTGGATCCTTTATTTCTTTAGAGGTTGCAAAGGTGACAAATAATTCAATCCCTCTTTATTCATTTCTTAGCTAGAAAACTTTTATAAATGCAATTTCCCTTCATCAACTATTTGGTTACTGTGAAGTACAGTGAAGAGAGGAGAGGCAAGATAAATGCTTAGTTCTCTTTCCCTTTATTTACTAGTTTTCAAAATGAAGAGCTCGTTCCCCGGCATCCTTCAAAGGGTCCAGTGTCCTTTAGCATCACTTCACCCCCATGGATTTGGACCTATTTGACGCGGTTCATTCAGTCTGTTGCAGTTATGCTCGCTGACATGGGAAGTGCCCAAACTCCAGCCAGTGGGAGCCTCTTCAGGATGCTTCCTGAATCCTTTTGACTTGAGCCTGGTCTTGTTGGATAACTTTCTTGCTTTCAGTTATGACAAGATGTTTCAATCTCATTTTGCACATTTTCTGCCCCAGACCTGAAATCAGCCATTTTCCAGGGAGCTCTGGTTCCTTTGCAGTTGCATTAATTGATTAGTTTTTAAGTGAAATCAGTTTTCCTGTACTTCTCGGGTTGGTGGCAGGGGCTGGGGTCCGGGATAGCTTTTCCTGCCTCACAGCTGTCGAGGTTCATTTTCTGTTGTTTTCTCAAGTTGGTAACAGTATGCCCTCTGTTCCCTACTCCACTCTGTCTGGGCTGCCTTTCCTTTGCTCTGTATCTCTGATCTTCTCTGTTTCGATCCATCTTTCAGCATTTCTCTCAGGCATGGGCTTTGTCGTGAGAGGGCACTTTGGTGACTAGTTTCAGGAAGTTTTATGGGGCCTAGACTGCTTTCTAGCTCCTTCAGACCTCAAGATCCCTTTGTCGTCTGTGCCTCAGTTTCTTCACTATAAAGAGGGGAAGAGCTAGTGAGGTTGCCCCTTGCAGCCCTGGCAGTTTGTGACTCTGATTCTCCTCGATGGGCGTGATGCCTGAGGTCCCTTCTGCAGCCTGATGGCTGAGTCACACCACCTGTGGTTCACTGTGGCCATGTCCCTGCAGGGATCTCAGTGTGGACGCCGGCTTGAGTCCTGCTCAGTTCCAGGTGCGGCCCATCCCTCAGCACTATCAGCATTACCTAGCGACTCCTCGAATGCACCACTTCCCCCGAAACTCCTCCTCCACGCAGATGGTGAGTGGAGGGCTCCCCCGGGACACTGCCTCCTTGCTGCCTGGTGGGGGCCCATGGTGGGCTGAGGTCTGCAGCTCCCCCGGGTCCCTCTTCCCCGGGTCCCTTTCCCCTGGGTCCCTCTGCCCCATGTCCCTGTCCCGCATGTCCCCTCTCCTATGTCCTTGTCCCCCGTGTCCCTCTCCCAGGCTAATCAACTGCTACTCTCCCCTCTCAGCTCCTCTTCCCACTCTGGCTTGAAGGGGAGAGATAAAGGGAACCTACTGGACTGAAGCTAGTACTGTGGACAGGACCAGGCGGGCCCTGGAGGGGCGGAAAGGGGCCAAGTGGCAGGCTGTGGCCTGTGGGGAAAAGGCTCAGGGTGAAGAGCAGGCAAGGAAGCCCCTGGACTCCATATGACCTTGTTTAGTGAACTTCTTGGGGTCCGGTGCCTCCCTGGGCTTTGGCTTCACTCACCTGTGAAATGGGAAGAAGACACCTGCCTCACCCATCCCCCAGGACTGGTGTGAGGAACAGAAGGGACCCCAGAGGGAGCCCCCGGGCTGGCCGGCTGATGCAGTTCTGCTCTCTGCAGGGGGCAGGACTTCCTCACTGTGGGGTGCTGAGATTGCAGAGGATCCGGTGGGGTGTGGGGGCTTTTGAGTTCCTGGCATTGCAGGCTGCAGGGAATGAAGGCGAAGATACTCCATTAAAGCAGCAAAAGGCTGATTAAAAATCTTATTTCCAGATAGCTTCTTCATGTTGCTGCCCTGAAGCATAACTCCTCCCTGCCAGCCCTTGCCTCTGCCACCAGGCAGGCAGCACCTCAGTCTCATTTGTAAAATGAGAGCCTATGATGAGTAGTCTCAGAAGTCCTTGGCAGCTCCTAGGTTCTATGGTTTGCATTCTGAAGCCCCATCTCCTAAGAACAAAAGCTAACATTTATTGAGCACTTACTGCATACCAGGCGCTGTTCTGAGCACTTTACGTGAATTATCTCATTGAAGCCCCTCAATGACCCTACACGAAAGGGTATTATCCCTATTTTACTTGGCAGACTCAGGCACAGAGAGGTTAAGGAACTGGCCCGGAGTCCTGCAGTGAGTAAGCTGAACAGCTAGGATGGAAACCGGGTCCCTCTGACTCGTAGGCTGGGTCAGGGCAAGGCGAGTGAGGTAGGGCCATGCAAGTACAGGGTCAGGTCCTGTCTCTATTTAAAATTTTGATATACTGTTCATTATGGATTTTTTGCATTAATTTTTATTTTTTTTAAATATCACATTAAAATATTATTTATCTTGCTTCCTGGGTCTTTTGGTGTCCCCTTGTATTTTGTGCCCTCGCTTGCCCCACCCTAGTCTGGGCAGTGCAGAGTAGAAGGGGAAGGAATGGATGCTGCCATCCAACTGCCTGTGTTCCAAATAGTAGTTCTGTCACTTGGTTGCATAACTCTGGCCACTAACTTAATCTGTTTGTGTCTCATTTACCGTATCAGTAACATGAGAATAGTAATTGCACCCACATTGTAGATCAGATGAGATAATTAAATAAATAAATTTGTGAAGGGCTTAGAACAGAGCCCACTATGAAATAAATGCCCAACCAGGTTAGTCTTTTATTTTCCTGATTTTATTATCCTTTCTGAGGCTGGTCTGGGACAAGCTTAGTTCTTGATGAGGAGGGGGACAGAGGAGCGGGAAAGACAGTGCTTCCGCCTGTAGCATCTCAGGGATGTGGTGACTGGCCGTTACTGGAGGAAGAATCGGTTGCTGGGCTCATCAAGACTTGACTCCTATCCAAGGCATTTTCTCCCCAACAGGTCGTCCATGAAATCCGAAACTACCCTTACCCTCAGCTTCACTTCCTTGCTCTCCAGGGACTGAACCCCAGCAGACACACCTCTGCCGTGCGGGAGAGCTACGAGGTATATTCTTCTGTCTGGGAATCCTCCTGCCAGCCTGGTCCCAACTGGGTTGGTGGAGATGCCATCATCGTTCATCATCTCCTCTCCCTTTCCCCTGCTGGTGGGTAGGGCATTGGTGCAAAGGGGAGCCTTGGGGTTGAGAGTAAGAGAGAAAAAGAGAGAGAGTAGAGATACTGTGGTCTTTCTGCATCAGACCAGTTCTTCCCAATGGCTATGTGAATGCTTCCTGCTGACATCCCAGCGCCCCTCTTCCTTACTGTGTGTATGTGTGTGTTCGCACGTGCCCAGGGCACACATGCACATTTTTCTCTTTTCAGGAGCTGCTGCAGCTCGAGGACAGGTTGGGAAATGTGACTCGGGGAGCTGTACAGAACACCATTGAGAGGTTCACCTTCCCCCACAAGTACAAGAAGGTGAGTCTGCCAGCAGGTCAGCCTGCACAGTTGGGGGATGGGGAGTGTGGGTTGTCTAATTGACCTTGGCCTGCATGTCCACAGAGTGGTACAGTCTAAAATCTAGAAGTCTCTGCTCTGGGTAGATGTTCTGATGCTGCAATACCTTCCCAGGGTCTTCTCTCTTGCCTCTGCCAGGAGGAGAAACGGGGGGCCTCTCAGCAGTAAGGAGGAGGGCTAGGTATGTGTGTGTGTGCATATGGACTTGTGACTGGGTATATTAAATAGGAGTACAGGCATATAACTGTTTGCATCTGAGTGAGGCAGGCAAAGGGAACACCTGCACTGAAGGCTAAAATTTGCCTTAGAAGAGAATTCCAAGTCCAATCTCACATGGACAAACAGGCAACTAAGGCTCCAGAGGAGGGGTTTCCAATCTTGCCTGAGAATCAGGATCACCGGGGGAGCTTTTAAAGCCACAGATTCACAGCCTCTACCCTAAGCTATATAGGTAGACTCTGCAGGGTGATTGCCCAGCCATCTGGGGTAGGATTCAAGCCCAGGAATCTGAATTTAAAAGTTTTTAAATTAAAATAAATAAAAAATTTTGGAAGCAACCAAGATGTCCTTCAATAACCAAATGGATAAACAAACTGTAGCACATCTATACAATGGAATATTATTCCCTGATAAAAAGCCATTAAAAGCTATCAAGCCATTAAAAGATGTGGAGGAAACTTCAATGCATACTGCAAAGTGAAAGAAGCCAGCCTGAAAAAGCTACATGCTGTTTGATTCCAACTATATAGCATTCTGAAAAAGGCAAAACTAGAGACAGTAAAAAGATCTGTTGTTGCCAACAGGCTGTGGGGGAGGGAAGGAAGAATCAATAGGTGGGTCACAGCGGACTTTGAGGGCAGTTGAACTATTTTGTATGATACTGTAATGGTGGACACATACATTGTACATTTGTCACAACCCATGGAATGTACAACACAAAGAATGAACCCTAACGTAAACTAACGGACTTTAGTTAACAACACTGGATCTCTATTGCTTTCACTAATTGTAACAAACATACCTCACTAATGCAAGGTGTTAATAATAAGGGCAACTGTGTGTGTCTTGGGAGGGGGAGGAATATGGAAACACACTGTACTTTCTGCTCAAAAAAACCCAAATAAATAATAATTTAAAAATATCCCCCCTCCTGGAAGAATTAAAAACTTGACAAGTGTTAAGAAACTTGGAGCAGGAACATGCTCATCGTGGTCCAGCCAGAGCCCATCTTTACCTCCTTATGGGGCCCTGGGGTGCATGGTGGAGAGCACTAGGTGTTGGAGTTAGACAGGGCCAGTTTTGAATCTCAGTTTTACTACTGTCTCAGTCAATTCAAGCTGCTATAACAAAACACCATGGACTTGGGAGGCTTAAAAAACAGACATTTATTTCTCACAGTTCTGGAGGCTGAGAAGTCCAAGATCAGGGCACCTGCAGATTTGGTTCTTGCTGAGGGCTCTCCTCCTGGCTTGCAGACAGCTGCCTCCTCTCTGCATCTCCACGTGATAGAAAGAGGAGGTGTCCTTTCTTCTTCTCATAAGGGCACTAACCCCATGATGGGGGCTCTATCTTCATGAGCTCATATAAACCTAGTTACCTTCCAAGGGCTCTACCTCCTAACACCATCACGTTGGGGGTTAGGGCTTCAAAATATGAATTTGGGGTGATGCAGACATCCCATCCATAACCACCACTCACAGCTGTTTAACTTTGGAAAACTTACTTGGCTTTTCTGGCCCCTTCCCTGCCCTTTTTAATGTAAAATGGGAATGCTATATTAGTGCTACATAAGGGGTGCTCTGGGGGTTCAGTGGGCAAATGCATAGACACAACTTAGCAGAGCTCTGCTCTCACCTTGAGATGGGGCTCACTTGGTCTAGGCTTGCCCAGGTGCCAGTGGTGTCAACGTCAAGGATTATGAGTCTCAGTCTCTGCAACTCCTCATGGAGGAACTGGCTTTATCCCTAAGTGATTCCACCAACATTTACTATCTATTATGCGTCAGGAACGGATAGTATGTTAACAGAGGAAATGGCAGTATTTCAGTAATTAAGGGTGTCATCTGCATGGAAAAAATTGTCATTCTCTGGAGAGAGAGCTTTGAGCTATTGGAGAAGAACATGGAAGGGAATGAGGCATGTTCAGGAGCCGGGAGCAGCTTCTACTTCCCTGACTAGGGTGTGCTTGCTCCCGCCAGGGCCACGTGTGTCACCGACCACCCTTTCAACAGGCCAGGAGGAGATAAGGAAAAAAACCAAGCACTAAGAATGAAAAAGGAAAATGGATCGAACCAATGAGACAAAGAGTCAAGCTAGAAAATTATGAGAATAAAAAAAGAATTAGTGGAGTAGAAATATTGTAAGTAAGGAATAAGAGAAATTAAAAATGAGAGCTTATAAAGTCTAGGACCCAAACGAAATGTGAAAAAAAATTAAACTGATAGTAAAATAATGTAAAACAAAAAGGATATTTTAAAATGGTAATGATAGGACAAAATAAAAAAACATGGAAAAAATATATAGTCTAATAGAAAAATATAAAAAGAATAAGAATTAGGAAAAGATATGAAAACAACATCTAAAATTAAAATCAATAACATCAAAGTGAAAAGTGAATGTCAATGAAAATCAAAAGGTAAGGGAAAGAGGGATAAAATAAATATTAAATAAATAAATGCTGAAAAAAGTAACAGTTAAAAGTTGCATAGATAATGAAAAGAGAAGAGAAAAACCAGAAGCCCTAAAAGATTACAAATAAAAATAGGAAATAGGATAAATTTCAAAGAGAATAATTTAAAGAACTGTAGATCAGACATAGTAAAACAAGGTAAGAATATTAAGCTAAAATTATTAGCTATAAAAAGGAAATCATGAATAATAGTGGGGAAAAAAACAATAAAAAAACAGGCAAGTAGTTGAGTCTTAATGGTGTCTTTTACAGAACATCCCTTTTGTTGCAGGGCCAACTAAAAGAAGGCCACTTCTCTAGCCACCCCAGCTGGGCTCTTAGGCAGACAGATCCTCATGACTCCATTCATACTCAAAAGCCATGACAATTATGTGGGACTATGGATGTAATTCTGGTTGTCTGGATTCTGGATAAGGGGATACTTATTGTAGTAGCCTTGCATGGTTTGCAATGGGATGTATAGGGCACAAGGAGGCTGAGAGCAGAAGGCATAGATTTTCTTGTCTCTTCCAGCGAGCTTACAGTATTCCTCAAACTATATCAGACTAAGGAACTTCAGAACTTAGGACTAAGGATCAGTATAAGGAGATCTGGCATCTAGGGCTGGCCTCAAGGTCATGGTCATTCTCTGGGTGGCCTCCATCTAGTGACTACAGATTTTTCTCAGTAAAGTGATCTTTCAGTCTGCTTATCCCTGGAGGGGAGACAGAAGGGCTAATTTTCTTCCCATGGGCACTGTCAGACTTTCACCACATAGCATGGAAATGGGAGCATGAGAGGTAGGCTGATTCATTCACTGATTACATTCCTTCCTCTCCAGAATATTTATTAAGCACCAATGGTGTACCTGTGCTTGGCCAAATGTGGGGCAGTACCTAAAGAAGAGTGAGCCACGGTCCACACCATCTAAGAACTTGGAACTTTCTACTTAGTGGCTACTATATTCAAATAATTATCAGAGAATTTAAAACAGGACAGTTAAAGTCAATAAGTATAAACAGAGTGCCTGCATGATGTCTAACCTCATGTTGGAACTGTGCCTATATAAGAGGAACTTTCTGGATAGGGAGTGAAATCCAACAATATAAAATGAGAGTGTAGTACAAGTTACAGATGTAATGCCAGGTTGAAGAATTTTGCCTACATCTAGTAATGAATGAATAAGTGAATATATATTAGTGAGTGGAAGGAAGGAAAGAAGGAAGGAAGGAAGGGAGGGAGGGAGGGAGGAAAGAAGGAAGAATGGTTGCATAGATGGGTGGATGGATGGAGCCTGCTGGACCTGAGAGGGGAGGGAGAAGCCTGGAGGTAGGGACCTAGGTTGGAAAGGGTGTAATGAGGAGTGAACAGCATGAGTTGAACAAAAAGGGGGAAACTCTTTATGCACAGCCATCATTTTGCAAGTAACTGATTCATCAGGTACCCAATTCCTTTCCAAATTCTATGCTCCTAGGACAGCATAAAGTTTATGCCTGTGACATAAATTACATGGGACAACAAAAGTAAAGTCCACTTGGCCTCTTCCTCGCTTGGCTTTAACCCTTTGTATCCTGAGCAAGGAGGAGGGGTTGGGAGGAGGCAGAGAGAAGGCAGAAGGGAAGAGCACAGAAGTCTGGCTGTTACTTAGGAACTTAAAGAGACTAATTCAAAGGAACAGGAGGCCTCAAGGGAGTGGGAGGCTGTGGATGAAAGGCAATGGTCACCCGGTGAGTCTGCCCCGAGTAATGAAAGCTCCTCCTCTGCTTCTCACAGCGAAGACCCCAGGATGGCAAGGGCAAGAAGGAAGAGGGGGAGGAGTCAGACACAGATGAGAAATGCACAATCTGTCTGTCTATGCTGGAAGATGGAGAAGATGTGAGGTAGGAGGCTGGCCTCTTCCACTCCCTCTTGGGTATTGGTGATCACTCCTATACTGTGTGTCAGGGGTGGGGGTACTTGTTTGTTTGTGTGCGTGTGAGTGTGTGTGTGTGTGAGAGAGAGAGAGACAGAGAGTGCCAAGTGTGCCATAGCGTGCTTTGTGGTTGTTCTAGGAAGGTGGGGTGTAGAACATTCTAGATGTGTGGTACCCATGGCTATGAACCCGTGGACACAAAGTGTGAGTAAATAGAGTGATATTTGGCCTGAATGGGTCTAAGACAAAATCATGGCTTTGTCTCAGCCTGATCTAAAAGGGCTGCATGGAGGACGAGGGCCTTGGGGCTCTCCTTCTTGTCACAACTTCCCATCCCAGCCACAGCCTCACTCCATGGCAGGGCTCCCAAGACCCTCTTTGGCCAATCTCCCAGTGGTCCTGGGTGTGAGTCTCCTGATCTTCTCAGTAGCCTGTATCCCTCAGCTCCTGGCACAGCCCCGGGCCCCTTCCCTCCGACCATTCCTCTGACTCTCCTTCCTCTCTTCCAGGCGCCTACCCTGTATGCATCTCTTTCACCAACTGTGCGTGGACCAGTGGCTTGCCATGAGCAAGAAATGCCCCATCTGCCGAGTGGACATTGAGACACAGCTGGGAGCTGACAGCTGAGGGAAGAGTTAGCCAGTGGACGCCCCATTTTCCTTCACCAGGTCCCCCCACGGCCATAGCCCTTGCAGCCAAACTTTGCCTTCTGAGCCATTTGATGTAGAGGATAAGCCTGCAAGCACATTTTGTGGACAGAGGAGTTGGTGGTATCAGTGTCTGAGGGAAAGGAGGGGGTGGAGGGAGGACCACCCATCCAGAATGGTGACTGCCCCCATCCGCCTTGCCGAGTGGGAGGGAGGGAGCTGGCCGTGCCCGGAGCAGGGGTGGGAAGGGGGGGCCCACGCTGCTGAGAATCTTGATGCGATCCTGAAGGTCCTAGCTGATAGACTGGCCCCTCAATCCTGTCCTTTGAAGGATTGTATATATACCTCTCGACCACGTAGAAACCATGTAGGGGTCTCTAGCTATTTCTGTGGATGGCAGCCGGAGCATGTTAGCTTAAGAAAAATGTCGTGTGTGGTGCTCTAGTCATCTTGTGGTGGACATGTCGCTATTACCGAATTCGCACCAAATATTTCTCATTGAGTTTCTTGTTTTGGTGCCTGACTGAACCAACCAACGACAGCCCAAATCTTCCCGTCTTTAGGAGAGAAAAGGAAAAAGGAATCAAAAGTGAAAAAAAAAAAGCCAAATTCTGTTTACGGTGAAAACCAATTTTTTTCACCCAGATTGGGAGGCGGGAGGGGGGGTTCTCGTGTTTTTTGGTTTTGTGTTTTCCTTTGCTTTTTTTTTTCTCATGTTTACAGTGCATGGAGTGTGGAGAGGGGCATCTGGGAAAGGGCAGAACTGGAAATGGAGCAGATAGGGGACTTAGATGGGCTTCTGAGGGGCTCAGCCGGGGTTGGGAAGGCAGAGTTTGAGTAGGTGAAGGGGAGAATTCTGTCTTGAAAGAGGGCTCCCCAGTTTTGGAGCCCATCTACTGAGCTCCAGCCATCCCCCTGGCTTTAGCCAGAGTTGCCCCAGGTCCCTCAGAGCCAGGATGCCCCTCATGCCAGCTTCTTCCTTATGGCTGTGCTCATGCCCTGTCACAAAGAGGCAATTTGGCCACTGCCTCCCTATGCAAAAAATTAACCGATGCTGAAGACAAGATAGCATACGTGATGGACACTTGGTCTTGGCCAGAGTACTCTCCTCTAGCACTCAGGGGCTGAGGTCAAACTCTGTGGACCTTGAGGAGGACCTTCAGCTTCTTTTGGAATGTCTCAAATCCTGCTGGAGTCCCTCCGAGATGGCCCCGGCCCTGAGACTGCACTGGCTGGGTTTGGGGGGTCCTGTGTCCCTAGCCTCTGACTCTTTGATAACCGTGGGCAAGTCCCTCTCTCTGTGCCTCAGTTTCCTTCTCCTGAGAGTGGGGAGAAACAACAGTGCATCCCCACTTCCACTTCCTCTACCTCACCTAGATGTTGTGAGGATTAACAGTATCTGCCCAATGCATCCTATGCTCTCTCCTGGGAACCTCCTTAAGGTTTAGGGATGAGGGGTGGTAGGAGAGACAGACCTGGAGGTTCCAAGTGACACCACCCAGGTGTCTTTCTGCACCACCACACAATTTTTCTGAACCTCCAAGGGAGCAGAGATGGGAGGACTGAAGAATGGAGATAGGAAAATCCACCAAATTCCAACCCCAACCCAACTTTATCCACACGTGGAAAACACCAGCTCAGCTGGAATTCCACTCTCTTCTTTTGCCCCTCCCCCTCTCCCGAATTTGCACTGCCCTCAAAGCTTCCCTCCCCTCACCCCCTACTCCAGTCTCAATGCCCTTCTATCAATAAGAGAAGACTAAGAAGGACCAGATACTTATCACATAGATGAAGAAGTTCCATAAGGTTTAGGAAATCTGAGTTTGCACTGCTGCTACAAAGGGTAAAATCAGGACCAAAGGGCAAATGACTGGGAGGCAGATTTTGGCTTGAGGCAGAACCTTCCAGGACAACCAGAGCTGTCAGGTGGAAGGATGGCTGCTCTGGACACCTGCAGGCAGAGAGTGGGGACGTGGCTTCCGGTAGGAGGGCTACTCAAGGATCTTACTCAGACTAAGGCAATCTTGACTGAGGTGCTGGGAGAGACAATGGCAAAGAAGACAATATCTCGCCCTGAGGAGCTTCCAGTCTAGCTGAGGAGCCAAGATACAAACAGGTGCAAAAATGGTGAATAGTCTGATTCAGGGTTAACATCAGCGAGCCTTACATTGTCCCATTCAGTGATTCCGGTATGTGAACATTGTCTCCAGGGTGGTGGAGACCCCACCAATGGGGGCAGCACTTCTGAGTCAGGATTTGGAGCAAGCTAGTTACCAGTGGCCACAGGAAGCTGGGAATACTTCCAACCCTGCTTTGATGCAGAGGCAGCCAAGGTGGTCTGGGCAAGGGCACGCTCCTCTCAGTCTCGGCTTCTCTCTGAGGCTGGTTTCAAAGGCTAGCAGGTAGAGGGAGTCAGTGAGGAGGCCAGATGGAATGAGAGCTGGTGCCCCGGGGTCCCGTCTTGGCTCTTCACTGACAAAGTGGGCCACGTTAGAAACCCTCTTCGTCTCTCTGGGCCTCAGTTTCCTCAGCTGTAACACAAGGAGGTTGGATTGGACGCTAAATTCCCTTTCAACACTCATTCTCTGATCCTCCCTAACATCGACGCATCTTTCAAGTCAGTAGAGCTGCGTGCCAACTGAGCTATTGAAAATGACTTTCTGTGGACACCAACATCTATTTCCCAGGCCAAGAGTCGGGTGTGTGCCCTCCTTCCTCCGGATTCTCTGCAGGCTCCCTGAGTGCCCCAGGCTAACATGAGGCACTGACTGGGTTGGGGGTCTTCTGGGGGGAAGAGGTCAGCTGCTGACTTTGGGGGTAGATCCCGAAGCCCCTCTCCTCCCCATCTCTCTGGGGCCCCTGTACCCTGCAGGTGGGCACAGGAGGTGAGTGGACTCATGCTCCTCCCAGCTCCCGGCTTCCTTAGGCAGGCAGCCCGGCAGCCATCCCGGGGAGAGGAGTCGGGAGAGGGTTGTGCTTCCGCTCCCTTGAGACCCCCTGCCAATTGTCCGCGAGCCTGGGAAGAGCGGAGAAGAGGTGGGCTCGGGCCTCGGCATCTGGCACCCACCACCTCCAGGAGAGAAGACCCCTGGTAGTCCTCCTTCTGCTCAACTCAAGGGACTCAAACCCTTTCTTGACTGAGACGTATGAGTGCCTTCTGGGGCGAGAGCTGCCCCAGGATTCCAGTTGGGCCTCCTAGCCGCAGCCCTGGCCGCAGCGGGCGCACCGAGGACGCCAATCAATGAAACCAACGCCACGAGCCCGGCTGGCGCGGGCAGAGGCGCCGGGGTCGGGGGGCCGCGGGCTCCTCCGCTAGCCGGGACGCCCTCGGGCCCTGAAGCCCTTGCTCACCATCTGTGGCGGGACTCAAGCTCCTCTTCTACAAATGTTCCCAGCCTCCGTGCAAGTATTCTTAACTCTTTACGCCTAATGAACAAGCACAGTTTTTTCAACGGTGAAGAAAAAGCACCAGATTTTTTTTTTTCTTGAAGAAATCCCCCAAACCCTCCGCCTGCCGGCGGGACAAACACTCCCCGCGTGGGGCTGTAGCAACGTCTGTCAGGTCCCCTCCTCGTGTTTCATCTCCTGCGCGCGTAGAGCAAATGCTAGAGCGATTTCAGCTGATAGAAAAACAAAAATGAAAAAAAAAAACACAAAAAACAAAAAACATGGCACGTTGCTAGTTTACAGGGTTTTTGTGAGTTTAAATGCCTTATATTTAACAATCATAATTTATGACTAACTTGTAGATATCGTGGGTTCTTATTTAATTATTTTTATAGTTGTTTTGCATTTTTAATTATAATTTATTTATTTAGAAAGGATACTAATTTTTTTTATTACTCCTATTACCTCATTTTGGCATTGTCCCTGGGAGTGGAATGCTTTGCATGCATTGGTACGATGACAAACAACTACGAATACAAAAAAAAATTTAAAATAAAATTCTGCGAACTTTATTTCGTCCAAACTATCAGGGTGTGTGATTGCAAGCTGTCCTACTGTGGTGCTGGCCTCTTTTGGATACATTCCATACGAAATGCAAAACTTTGATTCTGTATGCTGTGATCTAGTGAAAAACTCCAATATAGTGACTGTATTTAGCACATATATAAATATAATTTGCACTCGTCAGCAGACTGGGGTAATCCTTTCACTTGCTACCTGCCCCCCACCCCCATCATTAACCTGTTTTTCCTTCTTCCCTTAACTTCGACCCACCCTGCCTTCATCTTCTGGGGAAAGTCAAGGGCCACTGGACGTCACTCTTTCCCCCCCGGGCTCCAAATCTCTCTGGTTCCAGAATTGGGCCCTTCGGACACAGCCAGCAGGAGTATCTGAAAGCCAAAAAGCTTGATTTATTAGAATGAGACTAACTGGGGTTTTCAGACCAGCTCTGCTGCAAACCGCCCTCTGACCTTGAGCAAGTCACTTGGCTTCCCCCAGTCTCAGTTTTCTGGGCTGGGTGAGCTGGAGGATCTCTCGGGTCCCTCAGACTCGGATAGAGTATAACCCAGATCCGGTGGGAGACCGCCACGCTGTGCTATCTCACCCTCTCAGGAGAGAGGAGAGGGAAGGAGAGAGGAAAAAGGGAGGTGGGAAGGAAAGAGAAAAGGAGAGGAAGAGAGTGGACGGAGGATTTATCCAGCAGATTTGCTCAAAGGAGAGATCCGGAAGGGTTTTTGTCCTTTTATATGCTACATCCTGTGGGTGACAGAGAGGAGGTTAGGTGGACGCATCCCTGGACACGGGACATGGCTTTCACAAGGCCATTTGGAGAGTGAGCTGAAGTCCACATCTTGTTGGATATGGGAATGGGGGAGGCAGAATATAAGCCCCAAACCGTGGTGTTTGGGATTGGCACCCCTGTCCTATCATCTCTTGGAGCCTTTGTTGTTGAGGCATCACCCTTGACAACAGGTTGGGACAACAGATTTTGGACTCTGGTCTCTCCTCCCCAGCATCTCCTCCTTCACCCTCTGCCAGTGCTCCATGGGAGCTGTGGGCAGGAGAGGCTGCTGTGGAGGACGGGGTGGGGTGGGCGCTCCAGTCTCACTGCCCCCAAGGAGAAGTGCTGGGGGAGGGTTTGGGGAAGCAGTGGCCTCAAAGGCTGGCACAGCAGTGAGCCCAGATGCCTTTGAGCCAAAAGGAGAGAGAGGAGGTCCATGCACGCGGGAGGAGCTTCTGAGCAGGCTTAGACCCTGGCCAGGAATGGGAGGACCACTCCTGTGCTCTCTGCGTGTCTGCCTCCTCCCTCCTCTCCTCCTTCCCTTCCTTTCCAGCTCATCCTTCCCCCTTGCCTCTCGATATCACTGCCTTTGCCTGGTGGAAAAGTCCACCCTCCACATGAGGCCCCCTGCGATGGTGCTGATGGGGGAGGAAGCGGAGGCCTGGATTCACCACACTGCCTGGCCAGGCCCCTAAGCCCCAACTTTGCTCTGGCTGGTCTATGGGTCCCGTTCCCTGGGCTTCCTGCCTGCTGCCTGCCCAGCTTCCCTTTCTGCCTACACCCTGGAAGCTTGTCTTCTCGTTTTGCTTGGAGGCGGCCTGTGGAGCGGCCCACGGGGACCCATGACCACCACACTGCCGGGCCTGGCAGATACTGCCCCCTTGGCAGGGCTCCTGGACGGACATGCCTTATGCTGCTCTGCAGGGTCAGAGTGGGAAGGGGCCCTTTGCCCTGGCTGGTCCGTCCCTCTCCCCGCCCAGCCCCATCCCCACCCCCAGGCCCAGCCCCACCTCTGGCCTTGGATCTGGCTCCTTTCTCAGCTATGGAGCCTATATCACCAGGCCCTCCAGGGGGTAATTTGGTTGCCCCTGGTAAGTGAAAGGATTATCCTCAGTGTTGATTGTCCTTTTTTGTAATCCTCCTGCTGTTCTGTTCTGTTGTGCTGTGCAACATTTTGCTACATAGACTATTTTATAGCAGAAAGCTAGAAGAATATTTATTATGAATATTAAAGCAATAGTGCACCAATGAAAAGGCGGAGACATTAGGAATTGTGTAAATGCTTAGATTCACTTTTGGTGGATTTTTTGTACTTTATTTATAACTAATAAAAATGAACTGCATTGCTAACTACATCTTACTCGTGCAGGGTGCTTATTTCTGTGCAAACCCAGGGCAAGTCCGGAGAAAGCCTTGCAGAATCTCTCCCCACCCGTTTTCCTTGTCCCCTCTCCCTGCCTGTCACCTGTTTCCCTCCCCTCTTTCCCCTCCTCCTTCACCTCCTCCTCCTCTGCCTCCTCCACCTCCTTCTCTCATATTTGTTATCTCTTTTACCTCTTTATCTCTCAAAGACTCTATTCCATACTAGGAACATTCATCTAATTAACCTGTTTCCTAAACTTCAGTTTATGGGTCTTAAAGGAGAAAGATGCCATTTTTGATCAATTTTCAAATGTGACCTCTTGTGTTCTGAACTGGAGGGCTCCTTAGTTTCTCTTTGGGAGGAATTCCATTTTCGACAGTTGGCGTGGAATTCTTATTCCTTTGTGGGAGCCCAAATTCAGACCTTCTGCATTGTCTAGAGTCTGTTCTCGGTGTGGGAGTCAGTGAACTGAAAGATGGCTTTCTTTCATAAACTGCAAACAGAACCCATATTAATGAACTTTTTTTTTAAGTAATAGATCTTTTTTTTAGGACAGTTTTAGGTTTACAGAAAAATGAGCAGAAAGTACAGAGAATTCCCACATACTCTTTCACCACCACCCCCAGTTTCCCCGATTATTAACATCTTGCATTAGCATGGTACATTTGTTACAATTGATGAGCCAATACTGATACGTTATCATTAACTAGAGTCCAGAGTTTGCATTAGATTAATGAATGTTCAAATCCCTAGTTCTTGTTCAAGTGAGACGATCCTAAATGCCGTTGGTAGCTTTCACATATTTCCATCTATGTCTGCTCTGACCCATGACCAGGCACTTTAGTCCTGGCCCCACCACTAGCCAGCATGCCGACGTGGCAAAGACACTTCCCTTCCCTTGTTTTGCCAACCGCAACAATGCGAACGGTAGACTGGGTTCTTCCAGCTCGACATGCCACAGGTCTCTATTTATAGGCTCTGCCTCCCTCTAGTATCCTTGTCCATTTAATCTCTGTTTACACTTACACTGGAGGTGACCCTGGGAGGAATGGCCTGGGCTACTTTCGCACGGGGGGAGGGGAGAGGGAGCCGGGGGATAGTTCTCTTTCCTTAGATTTTGTGCCCGCCCCCCACAGTGCATGGGCAAACGTGCAGCCTTCCTCATCTCCACTCCCGTGCCCTCACCTTCCCGTTGCAGTGGCCAGGAGGACAGTGGTTTCTCAGAAAACATCCAGACTCACGCTCTGCCTACACCCCGTGACTCCCAGTCAGCATGAAGTGCCCCCAGGAGGTCAGGAGGAACAGAGTCTGCCTGTATTAGTCAAGACTCTCCAGAGAAACACAACCAAGAGGAGTTTTCTTAAGAAGAATTGGCCCCCGTGGTGATGGAGGCTGAGCAGTCGCCCAATCTGCTGTAAGCTAGCCGGAGGCCCAGAGAAGCTGACGGCGCAGTTCCAGCTGGAGTCTGAAGGCCTGAGAGCCAGGGAGCCGACTGTGCAAATTCCAGTCCAACGGCAGGAGAAGACTGATGACCAGCTCTAGCAGGCAGGGAGGAAGGGGGCAACTTCTCCCTTCCTCTGCTTTCCATTCTATTCAGGCCCTGAAGGCGTTGGATGACGCCCACTCCCCTGAGGCAGGGCGATCTACTTTACTGAGTCCACCAATTCAAACGCTCATCTTATCTGGAAACACCCTCACAGACACACCAGCAGTGGTGTCTAATCTGGGCCCCCTGTGGCCAGTGAAGCTGACATATAAGTTAGCCAGGACCCCTCGCTTCTTGTTCTCGGCTCTCCATTCCCGAGAAGCCCGTATCGCTCCTGGGATGTAGAAGACAGGAATGGACCTCCTCTTGCCAGGGCATTTTCCTCTCCCCACTCCCTTTCGTCCTAGCTGGCGTGCCCTGTTCAGCAGCCTTAACCCCGGCAAATAGCACTCCTTCCCCACATCCGCCCTGCAGTGCTGAGCAGCCTTCTGTCTGGGAACCTCCCTCTTGTCCCCACAACCAGCCGGAGCAGCCGTTCCTTCATCTGTGTTGTGTTTTGAGCTTCCATCTAACATTTCACCTGAGGAAAAGCCCTGCCCTTGGGCTTTATACGCCACCTGCTAGCCGTGTGACTTTGGGCAAGTTACTTAAACTCTCTGTGCTTCAGTTTCTTCATCTATAAAGTGGGATAATAGCACCTGCGTAGGTCTTTATGAGGATTTAATGAGCTAATGTGTGAAGCATTTAACACGTGTCTGGAATATAGTAAGCACCACATAAGTATTAGCTATGATGATGATGATTTTTTTTTTTTTTAAATCCCTGCTTTCCGTAGTGCTTCTCCTTGGTCCTCTTGTTCTCCCCTCTCCCTCATTTTCCTAGAGAGTTTCCCAGGCTCCATTAATGTCTGCTCTTCCCCTCTTGCCATCCCAGGCCGTGGTCATCCACCAGCAATTGCCTGTCCAGTAGGAGGGCTGGTGGCAGAGGCCTCCAGACCAAGACTCCTATGACCATTGCTTCATAATAGTTTTCCTGCATTCAGCAGAGATTCTACAAGAAAAGTCACATTGAGGCCTGTAGGCTGGAAGTACAGAACCTATCTTCCCTCTAGCTTGTAAGCAACGCCACCTTCCCCACCATCCAGGTGTGGCTCCCCAAGCTCCCCCTTTTAAATGTAGGGCTAAGATGCTCTTTCCTCCCTTAAAAAGTCATTCACTCTCCAAACCCGTCTGTCCCCAAACTCCTTCTTTCCCATAGGCTCTATTTACTCCCTATGTCCAAAGCCGAGGTTCCCCCACCCATCCCCTGAACACCCCTTATCCTGCCCTAGCTGAGGTGTCTGTCAGTGGTTGATGCCTCGTGCCACGCTCTGCCAAAGGGCTGGAAGTAATGGGGGTCCCTGTTCAAGAGGCCTGCCCCAGGTGATGATGCAAGGTTGGGACAGGGGCTCTTCTGTAAGACGGGCTGCCCCTTACAGACTGCGGCTGGGCCACCGTGTCAGCCCTAAGATGGGACTTGGGGGACTAAGGACCTGAGAACGGCCCACTTCAGGTGGAAGATTTCTCAGTCTACTGCTGCCACACACTTTATTTGGGAAGCCTGTGTTCAGGATGGGCACACAGCACCAGGGGTCTTCAGGAAGTGGTGCATCCAGAGTATTTCTGACCTCTTCCACTTGGACCCACATAATCAGAATTTAGAAGGGGTGTATCTGAACCAGGCTGAGTTTACTTTTATCAAAATCTTGGAAGAAAAGTGTCCTTCGGCCAAAGAGCTGAGAACGTAAGATCGGAAGGCTTTTGTTTAACCTACTTAAGAGCAAAAGTGTTTTTTAGTTTTTGGTGCAACAGTTTGCATGTAAATAGCTTGTGCTAATTGCAAACGAGGCTTATCTCTGCTTTGATGTAGACCCCCAGGGATATTTATTTGCAAATACTTTGTTAGCAGTTACTGGAAAGCAATACAATTAAGATTCTCTCCAAATTTTCTTTAATGAAGTCTTGTCTCTAAATCAGGAGAGGAAAGATGGAGCTGATATAAAACCTTGTCACTCAAGAAGCCGTCCTTATAAGGAAGAACTTTCTAATGGTGTGAGCAGTCAGCGCCAGGGGGTCTGGGGAGGGAGTGAGCAGCTCTGGCAGGGGCTGTGGGAACTGGAAGGGAGGTGCAGGGGAAGGGAGAAACCATTCCTTCCTTTGTTTTCTTCACCCTGAGCCCTAGTGAGGGGGCTCTGTCTTGGCCGGAGGAGAGGTGGCATTCCAGCGCCACCTGCCCATGGTCCCCTGCCCCAGCAGTGACCACGGGCTATGTCAGCCACAGGGCATTGGAGGAAGACTGGTTCAGTAGGGAACTTCCCAAGAGAAGGGGCTTGATCATCCTCCCCATGGCCCGCTGTTGGGTCTCAGCCTCAGAGTTAGGACTGTTGGGGTACAGAGACTTGTGGGGACTTCGGGTGGGAGAATATCTTTCTACTAGGGCCAAGACTAGGGCGAGGCAGGTGAGGCACCCTGTGTGCAACATGTAAGGAGCCCTCACTCTTGGGTGCCAGCCCTGCCTTTGCACGAGCCTGAGGGTGAGAGCTTCCTCAAACTTTGCACCCTGGGCTTCTTGCTTGCTTCACCCAAACCTCAGCTTTGCTTTCTGCCCTCGCCAAGAGGGGCATTGCTGTGATTGCCTGTAAGGAAGAGAGGGGAATTGAAAGGCAGAGCCCAGAGCAGGGGCAGATGGGCTGAGATCTGGAGCAAAGCCCCCTCGTTCCTTCCTCAGGGTAGTGGGCAGGCTTGGGGGCAGCAGGCAGGTGAGAGCAGAATGCAGCAGTGGGTTGGCCTTTTCCATCCTGCCCCCCAGTGCCCTTGTGAGCAATTCTCCCCACCCTTCACCTTCAGCCTCGGCACAGCCTGGGTGGAGGAACGAGGACTGTAGGGTCTCGAACAATATAACTCACCAAGGGCCCCAGTGCCCCTTAGGGAAAGGCAGTGCCCAGCCCAAAGAAGCAGGGCTGTGGAGATGGGATCCAACAGATGTTGAATTCTGCAAGATTCCCAGCCCCCCTCGCTTTCCCCCCTCTGCCACCATGCACATCTAGCCCCAACCTCCTCCACAGAGTGTGAAGGGCGTCAGAAGCCTAGTTCTGGCCCAGCTTTGCCCCATGGGACCCTCAGTGAGTCAGAGACCTGCTCTGGTCCTCAGTTTCTGCTCCTATAAAGCAGAGAGGTTAGACTAGCATGGGGCCTCATAACATGGTGCGATGGAGGGGTGGATGGATGGGTGGCAAGGAGACTTCAAGCAGATGGGACAGTCCTAGCAGAGGCACGGCAGAGAGGACAGTGACTGTGGCATTGCTGGAGAGCAACATGCTGGGTCTGAAGCTGTGGGTAACTTGCCCACAGTGGAGATGGCCAAGGTCCTGGGAACTTGGGGAACCAGGTGGAACGTGAGAGGTCCCTGAATGAACCAAAGGTATAACAGGTTTTTATGGGACTTTTACAGCTGTAGTTTCATCAGACCTAGACAAGTCCTCTCTGGAAAGCAGAGGAGGCAGGGCAGGTAAGGATGGAAGAAACGTCGACTAAGGTCATGGGGGATGTCATCAAACCAGGTCTGCCCTATCCCAACAAGAGTAAGCCAACATTTATTGAACACATTGGCAACACGACGTGAGGCTGTTCCTGTACCAATTTTGGCTGGATCCACAAGACAGTAGATGCGACCCTCCACATGAGACCACACGGCACTTGCCAGAGGGCACGGGAGATAACTGTTTTGAGCTTTGAACTGATCATCCTCCTTCAAATTATGACAGAGGATGGAGAGGCTGAGAAGGGGGTCATGGATCTGAGGACAGGACACTCAGAAAGAGCTGCAGGTGGGCTGGGGGTACCCCCTTCTTCTTGGCAAAGTGATTGAGGCTTCAACAGGCCTATTTGGAGAGGCGGATGAGTCCACCTCAGTTGAGGACATAGTGCCCTGCCCCGTCCAGAGAAATCACAGGGATGAGATTTGGCTGGCTGGCCACTGATGGCAAAGATGAGTGGCCTGAATGCCGAATTTGTCAGAGCAAAGGATGCTGGAGGACGTCTTATAAGGTGTCTTACATCCTGAACAAGAAAACAGAGTGGAAGGGTGAAGGGACTGAGAACGAGCCCACCCAAGTGCAGGTGAGAGCAGGGGTCCAAACTCCCCCTAGTCCAGAAAGAAAGACCCCGACCACAATAGCACCCCTCCAAGAGGATGCTGCCTGCTCCCTTCATTTCCCGTCTCTTCCGTGGAGGAGTAAGAAACAGCATCAGCAGGAAGAGGAAGCAGGAAGAAAAGTGTGAGGGAGAGAAAAAGAGGTGAAGGTGACCCCACACTCACACTCCCACACACGTGCACACTCCCACACACACTCCTCCTTCACTTCGGTTCATGCCTGTGACATGCCTATGCTGGGGGATGAGAGGAAATAACTCTAAGTGTGACGTTTTCACCTTTATATTGGAGCTGGACCTTTAAATTACAGAATTGACACCGACTCTGTGACTTAGAATGGTTGTTGGACTTTTTATGACCTAAAAGAGTCCAGAAGAGTTGCGAGGCTTGCCTAAATTTTCTTCGGGGACAGAAGCAGAACCCGTTCCACAGAAAAGACACAAATAAAGCTGTTTAATGGTTACTTCTCCTCCCACCCCGACTCCAGCCCCCTTGAGTCTTGCTTGTTCAACACAATGGACACAGTCACCCTTCAGTGCAGGTGCTGGATTACAACTGTCTGCATATTAACTCATTTAGTCTTCATAACAACCCAGGAGGTAGGTATCATCATTCTCTCTGTTTGACAGATGAGGAAACTGAGCCCCGAGAGATGAAATAATGTGCCCAAGCTCTCCCAGCAGGTAGGAGGTGGACTGGGAACTCCAGCCCAGGCAGGCAGCCTCCGAGCCTGTGCTTTCAATGGCCACCTCGCTTTCCCCCTCAGGGCCCCCTCAACCCACCCCCGCAGGACAATTGGAAGTCAGGTGCTGTGAATTCGGCTTCCTGATCTCTTTGTGATTGTTGTCCAGAGAGTGTGCATGTCTGTGCACATGTATGTGCATGCACGTGAGCGTGTGGTTCTCCTGCTACCTCTCCATCAAGGTCACGTTCCCCTTGAGGGCAGCTCTCAGTCCACATTGCCCACAGGGAGCCAACAGTGATACATCATAAAGACCCCCCACGCCTGATCCTCCCCCAGGCTTTCCCAGGTACCGTCCCCACCACCTTCTGCTCAGGTCTCTGGGTCTCAACTGTGTTATTACAGGGTGGGGCAACCAGAGGACACCCGGAGATTTGTTCTTTGCAAAGTGATGGCAAGGGTCATGTACCTTTTCACAGGCTCATAAATCCCCACAGCCAAAACACTTCCTCCTGATGTTTTCTCTGTTTGCCACTGGATTTATTGAAAATGGGAAAAAAGGATGCATTTCTTAGTGAGCAGATGCCAAGATGAGTTCTTTGTGGAGTGTGGTTGGTAATAATTTAATTAGCCCAGCTTTTTTGGGAAAAAAGTGTTAATTAGTTTTTGCTTAAAATACACCATCATGATGGCCTCTTCTTCCCCACTTCTATCCCCTGGGTGAAGCCCCAATTTCCCGTCCACACCCGGCAGCGTGTCTCAGCCTGGTCACCACTATAATTGGAGAAGAAAATGCAAAAAGTTACTTTGGTGCAGCCATGAACTATGACACATGTTGATGGATTCCTGTAGGTCCAGGAGACCGGGTAGGGGCAGGACCCCGAAAGTGGTCGCCCACAGTAGACGCTGAAGGACCAGGAAGTTCTGGTCCACAGCGCCACACGCCACCCTTCTAGCCCCCAGTCCCAGCTCCAGGAGGCTTCGAGAAAGGACTGCTGAAAGCCCAGGTGGGGGCAGGAAGGTGTGGTCAGGGCCTCCAGCCCTCAGACAGAAGGGAAGAGGTCTCTCCAGGTGAGCCCGTCCCCCCGCTTCTTGTCCAGCCACCTGCCACAGTTGAAGATGGTGGCCACTCCAGTGCTGGTGTTGGTGACCTCCACCTTCTCCACCAGCCAGCCGGAGTAGTAGCCGCTGCTGTCATGTTCCACGCGCACCTTGCGCAGCTCACCCAGCTCCAGCGTCTCCAGGAAGAAGCGGTCGGTGCTGCCCCGCTCGAAGAGGTTGCGCATTTTCTGCTTCAGCTCCCGCTTGCCCGTGTCCCCATTGGCCCCAAAGATGGTTATGAAGACGTTGGCGTCAGTGCCTGCCCCCGGCTCGTAGCCTGTCGTCACAATGACCTCATACTTGACGGGCACCAGGCTCTGGACCTTGCTGGCAAAGCTCTCCGTCGTCTTGGTGACCTCGAATACCTTGAAGTACTTCCTCTTCCTCTTGAGAGGGATGAGGCAGTCGCAGTTGAAGAAGTACCTGGGCAGGGAGAGGTGCAAGGAGACTCAGTGAATACCAACCAAGGGTCATGCCCTCCTCGGGGACCCCTGGTCATCCATAAATGATTCCTTCCCCAGGCGACAGGATATTCGGGCTGGCAATGTCTGTGTTAAAATGTGAGGATGGGGTCTTTAACTTAAAATTCACAGTGAGTGGCATCTCCATCCTTCCAGTTGCTTCTTGATTCTCCTTTTATTTTTCCCCTCACACTCCAGATCCAATCCCCTTGACTCCATCTTTAAAACAGATCCAGAATCAGCCCACTTGAAAAACTATCCAGTCCCTCAGCATCTGTCCTGCTGCCCCTCTGGTCCAAGGCACCACCATCTTCTACCTGGAATATATCAGCCTCCTATCTGGTGTCCCTGCTTCCTGCTACCTCCAGTCAATTCTCTATACAGCAGCCAAGTGACCCTGTGGAGATGGAAGCCCAAGAATGTCATTATTCTGCTCAGAACTGTCTGATGGCTTTCCAGGTTAAGCAAAAACCAGTATCTTGCAGAGGGCTGCAAGACCTTACACGATGTGACCCTCCTCCTGATGTTTACCTTTCTGACCTGTTGCCTGCCCTTCTCCTCTAAACACTCCACGCCAACCGTGCTGGTCCCCTTGCTCCTTCAAAGGGATTGAAGAATGTCTTTACCCAGTGTTGGCACCTTCAGAGGCAGCTGTGGGATCCAGGGTGACAATCCTAGGCAAAGCCAAGTGGAAATGTGACTACGGAATGTGTGCTATCAAATCCCTCGAGCTTGGCTGAGTCAAACTATGAGAGTGTGTGTGTGTGCACGCTCGTGCGCCTGTGCGTGCATGCACATACCTGTGCTATGGGGAGAACAAAGGGTAAGAGAAAGTCCTCTACTGAAGAAGTACCACAAGCAGAAGCAAGTCCACGCCAAGAGAAACGGTCTTGGACCAAAAAGTTCTCTCTCTTCCTCCACCCCACACACCCCCAATTTTAGCCTTAGGGTCGTGGCAGTGAGTCTAATAATTATCAAGGAGGAAGTCAGAGGGCAGAGTGGGAAAATGTTGCATAGGGCTTGAGGGGGCTTGGGGTCGGCCCCAGCCCTACCACCTACCGCCTGTTTGTCCTTGGGCAAGTCACACCCCTACCTGGACCTTGATTTTCCCAATGGCAACACTAGAGGTTTGGACTAACAACTGCTGTGGTTTCTTCCCACTCCAAATTACTAATATTTCAACAGCCTTGGAAATAAGCAACCCTGGCACTGGCTAATGACTTCAGGAATGCAGCCCTGAAAGGGCGTGCCCAGTGGTGCCAAATCAAGCCCTATTTTACGTGAAAATCCATAACGGCAAAAAAGAGCTCGGTTTTCTGCATGCTTACTGAATGCCAGGGCTTTGCATTCTTACATCTCATTAACTCCCACAACAACCCCAAGCTGTAGGCCTGATCTTCCCTTTTCACAGAAGGGGAAACTAAGGCTTGGAGAAGAGAAGTCACAGCCCAAGGTGACTCAGAGCTGGGCCGAGAGCTAGCCTGCCTGGCCACCTGAAAAACCAGCCATTTAAAGACACTTCTCAGGTTTTGAGATCTGTCTTCCTCAACCTATCACTTGATAAATTTGGATTGTTGCTACATATCACACTTTCTTAGAGGGAGATATACTTGCATTCTTTGCTTAAAAATTCTTTTAAGATGTATGTCTTTATGCAAATGCCCACTTACAGACATAATTCTATATAAATGCACAAATCATGTGATCACACGCATGTTTTCTAAATGCGCTCTTTTTCTTTTCCTTTTGCTTGGCTCTCCCTCCTTTCCACTTCAGCATCCCGCCGTCACCTCAGATAACCCATGTAACAGTGGCGGGTGTATCTTGCCAAATTTCCCTCTGTTCCACCCAACCCTGTATAGACCCGCATAGACACAGACAGAGACAGGACGTCAGTGTTCCCTGTACACAATGGCATCTTCCCATATCTTGCTTTTCTCACTCAACAATACTTCCTGGGAACTGCTCCAAGTCATCTGGTACATATTTAATTCATTATTTTTAATGCCTGAAAAATATTCCCTGGTGTTGTGATAAGGAAATGTTTTCTAATAGACATAATTATAAGATCACCAGAATGTGGGACCCCAGGGCTTTGTGGAGTTAGGACTCTAGCTGTGGAAGGACACATGCCAGGCTGTTGTAGAAATGGGGGCAGGGTCATCAGCAAGAATAAAGGCAAAAGCAGAGAATAACGAACAAAAAGAAATTAAATATCTTTAAAAACATGGATGAGATGATCACACTTCTGCAAACAGTATGTGTGTGAGATATTTAAAAAACGCCAGAGAGAATGGGGTCACCAGACGCTCATGGTGCCCGTCTCTGATGGGTAGGACTGTAGAGAATTTTTACTTTCTTTTGTACACTTTTTTGTATTATTTGAATTTTTATAATGATTACGTATTATGTATGACATTGGGGTAAAACAATAAAGCTGTTTTTTGTTTTTAAAAAAAGAATAAGGGGCCGGCCCAGTGGTGTAGTAATTAAATTTGCACACTCTGCTTTGGCAGTGGGGGGGGGGTTTGTGGGTTTTGATCCTGGGTGCAGACCTACACACTGCTCATCAAGCCTTGCTGTGGCAGTGTCCTACATACAAAAGAGAGGAAGATTGGCACAGATGTTAGCTCAGTGACAATCTTCTTCAAGCAAAAAGAAGACAATTGGCAACAGATGTTAGCTCAGGGCCAATCTTCCTTACCAAAAAAACAACAAAAAAAAGAGGAATAAAAGTCTTTCTGTGTGTACTCCCATTGAAATCTTGAGGCTATTAATGGTAAAGAACTGGTCAGAAGGTAATGCACATTGCAGAAGAGGAGTCAGAACTGAAAAAGTTTGGAAGGTAAAAATTTGAGATTATTGTGTTCATAAGAGATTGAGAATAAATTCACTTGTATTCAATGGGAACTCAAATATTATGGTTAACATGGTGGTTGGAAAGGAACTGTGGATCTACATAGCACACACAGTGCTGTGTACATGGTTTTGTAATGGCAGACTGTAAGCACCTTCTAGAACGGTGACGTATGAGTCACTGCAGTGAGGAAACATGCCTGCACAGTCCCCTTTCCAGATGGAGGCAGTATTTCTCAAGGGAGGTAGGTTCTTACCCATCAGAACCCATTGGCTTGAGACCTGCGCAGGCAGGTGGGCTGCAGCATGACTTCCGGGAGCTTCCCATGCTGGAACCCTGCCATCCTTCCTTGCCGCCAGACTCCAGAGAGCATCTAGCTCACCTCCCAAAAGGAGAAACTGAGGCACAGAGAGGTGATGGACTATTGCCTGAGGCCACACAGCTGACCATGTGACAGCTCTAGTATCCAAGATTCTGGGCTCTCTGCACCCCGTTCCCTTCGGGAAGAGCCCCCACCCCAAGGACATCCCTCCCTCCCTCTCCAGCCTAAGTGACACACTGAGGAGCAGCCACACTCTCGAGGGTGTAGGAAAAGATGCTTCACTGGGTGTGGCAGCTGCCTTGCACCAGAAGAGAAACCCTACAACTCGGCCCCAGGCCTGTGGGGTGGGAAGTTCAAGGGCTGGGCCTTCACTTCTCTGTCCTCCTGAGCCTGGAAGGTGCCGGGGGTGCTGAGCTCTTTGGCTTTCTCTCTCTCACAGCCAACATTGTCAGTTTAAAGCTAACTCAAGGGGCGATCATTCTATTTTGTTATTTTATTGCATTTAGCAGTTCGTTTTGCTTATTTGGGGTTTTGGGGGGAGCAGTATCCGCAGCCACGTTCCCTGTGGTTGGGAGGCAGCACCAGGTTGCAGAAGGGGCTCTGACCTGGCCCCGGCTTGCTGGGTGAGTCAGTAACTCTACTCACCGCTTGCGTCCCAGCTCTCAAGTCCTCACCAGTATGGCTCCTAGCAGCCGCACCCAGCAACTCCTATGGGACATATTGTGTCCCAGTTGGTTTTTTCTTTAAGAGAGCAACAAATAACATTGCAGTCCAACACGGAAGTTGTTATGGACTGAATTGTGTTCCCCCGAATTCCTATGTTGAAGGCCTAACCCTCAGTGTAATGATATTCGGAGGTGGTGCCCTCGGGAGGTAATTAGGTTTAGGTGAGGTCATGAGGGTGGGGCCCTCATGATGGGATTGGTGCCCAGATAAGAAGAGGAAGAGACACCAGAGCTCCCTCTCTGCTGTGTGAGGACCCAGCAAGCCAGGAAGACAGGCTTCACCAGAACCCAACCATGCTGGCCCCCTGACCTCAGACTTCTGGCCTCCAGGACTGTGAGAAAAAATGTCTGTTGTTTGAGCCACCCAGTCTGTGGTACTTTGTTATGGAAGCCCGAGCTGGCTAAGACAGAAGTTGAGAAGTCAGAACCCTTTCCTGCCCAATTCCCAAAGTGGAGGCTTGGCCAGAGTGAGCCAACTCCACAGAGCCTGCAGGTCTCAGGTCAAGCATGGCCAGACATTGCTTTGAGAAGCTTGGGCTCCTGAAGGCTGGAGCCTGCGGCTGAGGGACCTGCCCGGGCTGGCCTGCACCTGGCTGCTGCTTCTGCCTCATGTGCTTATTGTGAAAGGCGTTGCCATGAGCAGGGCCAGCCCCGGGAGGGGGCTTGAGGGGGATGATGAGGGGCTGGCAGCGGTCCTGGGGTGGATGCCCCCGCACGCAGCACCAGGGTGGCCCTGTGAGTTGCATACCTAGGCTCCCACTCGCTCCTCTGGCCTACTCTCCCTGAGACAAGCACTGCCCTGGGCTTCCCCCTTTCTCCTCTCCTGGTTCTTTCTCAGCGTCTTTCTTGCCTTCCAGAGCCTCAGGGCTCTTTCTGGCTTCCAACGTGGTTACCAAGCGGTTTTAATTACACAAACTGATGGCTGTGAACTGTTACCCGGGTAACTAAGGCCCTTAATCCTCCAGAAATGCCCGAGTTCCCAGAAGGCCCTGGTGGGGGGAGTGCAAAGCTCCTTATCTGGGGTCCTCAGAGGCAGGTGGGCCATGGGATTACCCCCGCTGGTCTCTGGTCCCTACGCTGCCCACACGGATGGAGGGCTTTGACTATGACCATGGAAGCAGCGGGCTTCCAAGCTGGATTTCTGTGTCATTACACAGGACTGGGAGGGGAGGGGAAGGAAGGTCTCCACTGTCTGACTTTCTCAGTGTTCTTCCAAGGAAGCGTCTCTCATTCAAACACTGGAGCACCCAACCTCGTTTGTTCTAGTCCCTGTCTCTGGGGGTAGGCCTAGGGTTCAGAGAGCTCCAGAACTATACAGCTGCCTCCCCGCTTCCTGCCCCATAAGCTTCCTGAGTGAGGTGACCTTGGCCTTGAAGGGGACGCCTCCTGCACGGTGCTGTCTTGCCCGTGGTCCAGCCTCAGTCCCTCCCCACTAAGGGAGTGGCAAGTCCTGGGAGAGAGGGCAGGAGGACAGTACATACACATTGCCGTACTCCATCTCAGTGATGGTGATCGTCTTGACATGCCAGACGAGCTCTCTCTTGGGGATGAACCGGTCCTCCCTGGCGAGATGGCCCACGCAGAGGGAGGCAATGTCCCCCAGGTAGACACTGTCAAACTCAAATGTGTCTGTGGTTCCCCTGAAGAACACAAAGGTATGGCCAATGAGAGCTGCCCATGCCCACTGAAGGACATAAGCATTTATTGAGTGTCTACTGCATTCCAGGCCCTGGTCTGAGGGATAGGGGTAGAATGGCAATCACAACCATTAAAGGGCCCTGCTGGCTGCCTGGTCCAAGCCCCAATGAATGGGGACATCGGATGGAGTCAGAGGAGGGTGAGGCCCTGGATGTTGGGCTTAGGAGGGTGGTGGGGTTCAGAGAGCCCAGGAAGGGGAGGAAAGGAGGAGTCCCCTGATGTGGACTTGACTTGGCAAAGTCATGGCATGGGAACAGTGGGATGGGGAGGCGCAGATGTTTTTTGGGGAAGTGCTGGCTGGGGTGGACTTTGCGTTCAGTGAGGGAAATGGCAGTGGAAAAGAAGGTGAGGGTGTGGCAGTCTGTGGTGGTCTGTAAGTGCCAATCTAAGGGGCTCAGACTTCATCCTGATGTAGAGGGAGTTTGAGTAAAAAGTATAGTGGGCTTATGGGAGAGGGAGACTTATTTAAACAGTTCTGGAAGGAGTGGGGAGATAAAGTGGGTATGGAGCAGTTCAGAGGCAGCTCTGATGTGAAGGAGGTGAGACTCCCCAGGGCGTGTCTGCCAACCAGGCGTGGTGAGCTGAGGTGCCTTTATACGAGACCCAATTTTGCTTTTCCTGTAAAGTATCTTAAAGACTCTCTCCTCCCTCCCTCCTTCTACCTAGAACTTAGTTCTATGCTGTCTTATATGATTCTTTTGCAATTTTATGGATGAATGTCTTCCTTTTCAACTAGACCATGAGCCCCTTGTCTGCACAGACATGGGATAACGTCTGCCGTGAGCCCTGGCCTTGCTGCGTAGTGGGCTCTCTTGAATCAATTTTTGCTGTAGCTTTCCATTACCTTTTTTCAAAATTGAAATATATTTGACACATAACAATGTTTACATTTAAGGTGTAAAACATTATTTTGGTACATTTATCCACTGTACTAGGATTGCCATTGTAGCAATGTTAGCAACTCTATCATGTAACATAACTTTTTCTTTTTAGTGGTTGGAATAATCAAGTTTTAGTCTCTTAGAGTGGGATCTCTTTAAATGGCTGTCGCCTCCTTTCCCTCTTATCAAAATCTCCTGTTCCATCCATAGGAACTCCGACAGGATCAGCATGCAGTAGATACTCAATAAGTACATGTGACTTAAGATCATTTGTATATTTATGGTCCCCACCAAGGGAGTTGATTCTTGGGGTCTCTCTCTTACCCACCCCACCCATCCCCATTCCCCTGTGGGCACCCCTCTTCCTACTTCCTAAAGGCCCGCTGCCTGGAAGAATTTTCCACGAGAAACTCTTTGGATCGGTTCTTCCTGCCCTCCAGGATGAGCCAGACGTTCTCCCTGGTTTCGCCTCCGTTGCCTGTTTCTATGACGATCTCGTAGGCTGCAGTGGAGAAGGTGGGAGAGGGTCAGCAGAGGGGAAGCAGGGCCCACCCTCAGGGCAGGAGCTCAAGGGCAGCCTCCTCCAGATCCTACATTTGATCTTAGACCGCAGCCTGGAGGGGGCAGGTTAAAGTCGCCACACTCAAGGTGTTATAAATAGAACCTGCCCCTATTTGGGGGGCTAAGAGGATCACTTTATTTATAGAAGCTCTTTGCCTGGTGAACACGGGAGCCGCTGGGAACATGGGAGCTGCTGGGAGAGAAGGACCAGCCTCGGCTGCCTCCAGGAAGCAGGAAGAGGGGATGAGCTTTCTGAGAGATGCTGGGACCTGGCTCTCAAGGGTGGAAGAGTCCTTGAGATTCAAAGCAGAGAGCATATGCAAAGAGAGGGGAGGAGAGGTGGAGCCCAGCAACAGAAAAGGGAGGGAGAAGACCCAGGCAGGCGAGACCCCAGGAGAGCCTCGAATTCTCTCTCACAAGCAGTCCCACTCCCCGTCTTGGGTCTGCTCTCACTCTGCTGTCATGCTCAGCATCACAACCCTCTGGTCCCTGCAGTTTCCTCAAGCAGGTCTGCATTCATCACCCGACATTTGTTAAGTGGGCGCCGAGTGTCAGGACCACCCTAGGCTCTGGGTGACGCTAGAACTCAATCTCTAGCCCTGGACACAAATGCTGACTCTACCCTAGGAGAGAAAGTGGCAACTTTGCCGCCAAGGGCCAAACAAAGGAGTATGGGGCAAGGGGCAAATCTGGGTCCCGTCACCTCCCTCATCTCCTCCGACTTTCTCTCTGCTCACTCCAGCCCCTTTGCATCCACGCTGCTCCTGGAGCACTGAGGCAGAGACTTGGGGCTCAGCCTTACTGTGCTGTTATTTTCTCTTGTCCTTATCAACTTGTACTTTTTACGGTGCTATGTAGTTTACCTATTATTTTTATTGTTTATTGTATCCCCCACCCCCGCCAAACGTGAGCTCCATGAGGGCAGGGATCTTCATTTTGTGCACTGGTAGATCCCAAGTGCCCAGAACAGTGCCTGGCACATAGGCACTCAATAGATATTTGTTGAGAGAATGAATGAATGATTGGGCTAATCACAGGAAGCTCCATGAAGGAGGCGGCATTTTCACTTGGCCTTGGAGAAGAGCCATGATTATGATCAGCAGAAAACAGAGGGATGCTCTAGGAGGAGGGAGGAGCATATGCAAAGATACTGAGGTGTGTGAGAGGCGTTTGAAGTCCTTGTGATCCAGCCTCACTCCCCAGGGACCAGGCCAGGGACGGAAGTGGCACACAGGACGATACAACAAATATTTGTCTGGAGTGCCCCATGTATATAGCTCTTGAAGCAGCAAGTGAATCGTTGAGCGTTTGGGATTCTGGATCCAAAGGATTAGCTCTATTTCTGTGCCTTTATCTTAGAGATATAATAAAGACAGTTAAAAGAAAGGATGGCAATGCCTTCAGCTCAATGTGGCAATCCCAGCCTCTCAGCAACCCTTTTGTCTTTGTGACATCTCTCAAAGAGAATCTCTGCTACCTGAAACAGGTAGAATGAATCTGGAGAAAGGGGTAAGTAGCCAACAATAGACAGATAGGGGAAGAGATCCACAGAGAGCACACAGCGCCTGAAGAAGGGAAGGTTCCATAGGCCCCAACAGATCCCAGCCCAGGAACGTGAAATAGCTGGATCATGGCTGGCAACCGTAAGCCGTTGCAGAGAGGGGCACACTTCCACTGTCATTCTGCTTTCCCAACAGAAGGTAAGGTATGTCCTGCAAACCAGACACCCAGGAATTCAAAGTGGATCCTGGAAATGGTCTTTCAGCGCTGAGAAGATGCAGAGAGTGCCAGGAACCTACATGCTTACTACGATTAACTCAAGGAGGAGATGCGAGAAATGGTGCATATGGACTGTAACCCATCCTTTGCTGATGGTCCTGTGGTCCTGAGGGTAAGGTAGAGAAGTAGCGCTTGTAAGTGAGGACATCCAGGTAGGTTAGAAACTAATGTTGCTAGTCTCATTGATTATCTTTTGAGAGGAAGTTTCAATCATCATATTTTCATCTTGCCGTCTTTCCCATTTCATCAACGGCTTGATAAAAATGTGGAAGGTGTGACTCTCAACTTTGTTGATAGGTTGCTGGGAGGGAACAGAGGACACAGAGGAGGATCAGGGACCTGAGGGACTGGGGCAAGTAGGAGTGGCCAGCACAGTCTGCTAGGGATCAATATAAAGCTCACCCATGGGGCCAGCACACCCCCGGATAAGCCCGGCTGGAGAAAGGGGCTCAGCAACCACCTTGCAAGTCACCAGCATGAAGGGGTCACCAGCAAAGCTAGTGTGGGCTCAGGGGTCATGAATGTGGTCCAAGTGACAGAACAGGAGCGGGGAGAGAAGACCACCCTTGAAATCTTGTCGGTACTCTGGGCATGGCATCTGCAGAGGGAGACGAACAAGCAATCCAGGATGTGCTGAGAAGACCCAACATCACATCACGTGAGTAGCTGCTGGATAAACAGATGATTATCTGGAGGCAAGAACCGCAGGGGCACGTGATGCTGCGGGGGAGTGCCAGGACAAGGGCAACTGGGCTTCTAGGGAGCACCTGGAACTTACTGCTCTGGATCACCTGCCCCAACTCATGTTGACAGGACTATTTTTTACTCTGTGGAGCTCCTGCCACGTGGTTTGGATGGTGCTGAGAGTCCTGAGCCTGGCTGTTCAGAATCTTCCCCTGGGAGATGCTCTCTTCCCTTCCATTGAGGCTGTTAAGCTAGAAGGCTGCAGGGTTGGGGCTACCAGCAGCTATCTTCTCACAATGCAGAGAAAGAAACAGAGCTAGGAGGAAATGGCAGACAGAGACACACTGAAACTATTGGAGCCTCTGGAGACAGCCCAGTCCAAGCCAGCTCCACCTGGGACTTCCAAGTTCTGGGAACTAATACATTTCCTCTTTGCTGGAGCCAGCTTGGGTTTGGGGTTCAGACACATACAACTGAGAGTTCTGCCCACTCCTGAGGTTTTCTGTTTTACCCCATTGGAACTTCCAAAGGATGGAAGCTTCAAGAACATGAAAATGAAGACGGATTTTCTAACAGAACTGCCCAGTGAAGCAATGAGTCCTCCAGCCCTGGGGTGTTGGCCATCAAGCTGGACTGTATTTGGGCTGGAAATGTTGCAGAGAAGGCTGACTGAACAGCCTTGAAGGGCTTCAAGAGGGGGAGAATTCAAAGGGGGAGGGCTGTAAAGAGGGAAGCATTGGTCCTGCTGGAGGATGTCCCAGTGAGACCTCCCAGGTGAGTGTGTGTGCATGCACGTGTACACATGAGCATACGATCCTACTGTCCAGGCCTTACCCTGGATCAATTACAACAGAATCTCTGGGAGTAGGACCCAGATGTCAGTATAATTTAAAGATTGCCAATGGTTTTCAGCTTTGGCTGTGCACTGGCATGATCTGCAGAGGCAGATGCTTGCAGAGGGTCAGGAGCAGCTTCTAGAACTGCTAACAAGAATTGGAGGTGAAGGCAGGAAACAGGAGGCTCAAATGAGGTGGGGCAATCGATCAGTCTGGAGTAGCAGCCAGCCCCATAAAGACAAGATGTCCTGCTATGGGGCAGTGAGTCTTGGTCTAGGAATCAGGTCACCTGGGTCCTATTGGATACGAATGGGTCTTAGAGGTGTCACTTCACCATTCTGGTTTTTTGTTTTCCTTACCCATGATATGGAGTTGTGAATTTGCACCCTATCTAGCTCAAGGGCTGCCAGTGGGGCTGCAAGGACCTAATGAGAACAGAGGTGTGAAGTGCTTTCCACAAATGAAGCTCTGCTCGAGCACGAGAGGGTGTCTGTTCTTACAAGCTGAGTGCCCAGGCCCCTGTGTCACAGACACCGAAGGTAAGGGCCACAAGGGCAGGCCTCTGTTCTATTCATTGATGTGTCCCAGAACTCAGAATAGGCTGTGGCACGTACTAGATGCTCAGTAAGTATTTGCCAGATGGTTAAATAAAGGTAGCTGGTGGTTGGGATTTTTGGCTCGAGCTGTCTCCGTGGCTCTCCCCAGGATGAGCCTCCATCTGAGCACACAGCTGTGGCTGTCTGTCCCCCAAAGGGTATCTCTGCCCACTGCAGGCTCCTAGTAAAGACAGATCCATTCAGGCCGTCTCCTGGGCTCTATGCCCATGCTCTCTCACCTCCAGTCCATACACATCCTTCCGGAACTAACGCAAGTGCCGCCTCCCTTCTGCAATCTCTCTGCCAACTCAAATCCCACAGGTCTTAGCCGCTGTTTGGCAGGAAATCTGTGAAGGAGGCTCAGTGACTATGCTCCAAACCTCACAAATGTCTCCTCCTCTGAACGCCAATGGCCTGAGGAGCGTATGTTGCTCATCTTGGCACTTGTGTAAGGGGCTTAAGCTTCTCCCTCTAACAAGATTGTGAGGATCTAAGGAAGGGATCGCATCTTCTTCCATTTACTGAACCCTAATTGTGCACCTACTGAGTCCCAAAGCCTACAGAGCTGCAGAGGGCTACGGACACAAGTGACTCTCTCTCTGACCCCTGGGAGCTTACAGTTGTGTAGGGAGACTAACACATGTGCAAAGGTTCATGCAAGTAAACTAGAGGTCACAAAGCGGTGAGTATCACTCATGGATCTAAAATCAAACTGGGAACAAACAACCCAATCAAAAAATAGGCAGAGGATCTGAACAGACATTTTCCCAAAGAAGACATACAGACGGCCAACAGGCACAAGAAAAGATAATCACTAATTATTAAGGAAATGAAAATCAAAATTACAATGAGATATCACTTCACACCCATCAGAAAGGCTATAATTAACAAGACAGGAAATAACAAGTGTTGGAGAGGATGTGGAGAAAAGGGAACTCATACACTGCTGGTGGGAATGCAAACTGGTACAGTCACTATGGAAAACAGTATGGAGATTCCTCAAAAAGTTAAGAATAGAAATACTATACGACCCAGCTATTCCACTGCTGGGTATTTATCCAAAGAACAGGAAAACACGAATGAGTAAAGATACATTCACCCCTATGTTCAGTGCAGCATTATTCACAATAGCCAAGACTTAGAAATAATCTAAGTGCCCAGTGAGGGACGAATGGATGAAGAAGATGTGGTGTATATGTATATATATACACAATGGAACACTGCTCAGCTATAAAAAAGATGAAATCTTGCCACTTGCGAGATGGACCTTGAGGGTATTATGCTAAGCGAAATAAGTCAGAAGGAGAAAGCCAAATACTGTATGATTTCATTCATAAGTAGAAGACGACAACAACAACAAACAATCAGACACAGAGAATAGATTGGTGGTTCCCAGAGGGGAAGTGGGGAGGGAGGAGGGTGAAAGGGGCGACAGGGCACATGTGTACGGTGATGGATTATAATTAGTCTTTGAGTGATGAACATGATGAGGTCTACACAGAAATTGAACTATAATGATGTACACCTGAAATGTATATAATGTGACAAACTAATGTTGTCTCAATACAAAAATAAATAAATAAAATCAAACTGGGCACATGGTAACTCCTCAGTAAGTGCAATTACAGAAGCTGAGAGTTCACCCACTGAATTAGGGCAGGAATTCTCATTCAGTAAATTTGACAAATGGGTTCTTGGCCCTTGTTTGAATATTCCCAGGGACATCAGTGCTCACTACCTCTCAAAGCAGCTAATTTCATCATTGGGTATTTTGGATGGCATGGCGGGATGGGTGGGTGGTTTTCCACTAAAGATCCATGCTTCCCTTCCGTGGTCTACAGTGTTTGCCTGGAAGGGGCCGTCCAGCCAGGGAGTAAATTTCCCAGGTGCCCTTGCATCCAGGTGGAGCCACATGACTAGTTCTCACCAATAGAAAGTGAGTCCATGTATTAAGAAGGGAGGGGAGTAAACCTTCTCCTTAGTCTCTTTTCCCTTCTGCAAGAAATGTGCTTAAAGAAATACAAAAAAAAGAAAAAAGAAAGAAAGAAAGAAATGTGGGAGCCACATGTTGGAAAGGGCAGAGACACAGATGAAAAGACCTTGAGTCCCTGAATCATGGAGTGGAAGAGCTCCTACCAAACTCACACTGGACCGTTTATTACATGACCGAGAAATAAATTTTGTTGTTAAGCCATTGAGATTTGGGGGTTTATCTCTTACTGCAGCTAATGTTACCTTAATAATTAGGGTTGGAAAATACTTTCTTTACATTGGGCCCTGCCTTTGATAAGCCTTCTTTGGATCTGTTTGGCTCATACACTGGCATCTGTGTTAAAAAAAAACGCCTCCCTGGTCCTTGATGGCCATCCACCTTAGGGATCAATTACTCTTTCCCTTTAAATATCCCCTGAGGAAGGGACCAAAGGGAAAGTGGCTGATGGAGATGCTGGCTCCCCCTGCACATTCCGTTTCCAGGAAGGCTTGATTTGGCAGCTGTTGCCACAGGCATCAATTGGATGGAGTCCATGCTATAAAAATAAACCAGAGAGAGCTTCACACTAAATGTCCCAGACCAGCCCTCAGGGCAGGGTGAGCTTGTCCCCAGTGGGTTTGCCTGCTACCTAATTAGTCCCTATGATTCAGGGCCATGAGCTGGTACCAGTATCTCAGCTGTTCCAGGTTCACCAAGCAACCGTTAGTGTGTTTGCTTGCGCACCTCCCCAATATTATTTCCTTCACTGGGCATCTGATTCCCCTTCAGCTGTAACAACCACTTAGATTTTTCCAACACAATTTCCCACCTCCCTCCTGAGCTCATTCTCACTGAACTCTGAGGATTCAGCCCAGGCATCACAGCCAGGCTGAGCCCACCAGTCTCCCCACGTACTGGTCTCCTCCAGCTCATCCTGGATCTCATTGTTGGCACAGGCAAAGTCACGGACCGTCTGTCTGTCGCCCTCACTCTTGGAGAGCCAGCAGTCACATTGGAAGCGGAAGGTCTCATCGCGGGAGTTGTCCTTCACGTCGACATAGCTCAGGTGCCAGCCAGGAAATATCCCTGTGGGAGAGAGATCCTGGTGACTGGGAGCTGAACGTGCTCTCTCTCCCCTTTCAGACTTACGCTCCCCCTGGCCCTCTGGCTGTGTGGCCCTGGACAAGTTGTCTGTCTTCTCTGGGCCTTGGTCTCCTCATTGATGAAATAAGGGTTTGGGTTAGATGATCTCTGAGGGCTCCTCCAGCCCAGAGGACATAATTCTCTTTGCAAAATCCTTAATTTAGGGTTCATGAACCCTTAGAGTATTTGTATATGAGATTTAAGCAGTCCACGGGCTCCGAGAAATCATGCTATTATTACACAAGGACATTTTACCAAGAAGAGTGCTCACAGCTTTCATCAGATTCACAATGGGGGCCTCTGACCCAAGAAATAGACCTTTTTAGGAGTTCATGAAGCTGAAGGATGAATCCTATTTCTTCCTGACACCAGCATTCACCTAGCTCACACCCATTACCCTTCCAGAATCTGTTTAGGCATCAACTCCTCCAGGAAGCCTTCCCTAATGTCCTTTCATCACCTACTAGGCCTGCATCAGGTGTCCTCCCCCTTGCTCCCATAGCATCCTGCACCTGCCTTGGCCACGCCATGACCACACTGTTTCCTCACTGTTTACAAGTGTCTCTTCCTCTGCACTGTGAGCTTTTGAGGGCAGGGAGTATGTCTTGTCTTTATTTCCCCAGTGCCTAGCATAGCAACTGGCATGTAGTAGTTACTCAGTGAATGCTTAATGAATATGTTATGACTTTGAGGACCATGGCTATTTGACAATCATAGAAGGGATCAGAAGCTGCTATTTCTTCAGAGTGTGTTGCTAAACCTGACATATCTTGGCCTAATATTGAACTTACAGCTGCTTCTGTTGTAACTGTCAGGGCTACCTTCAGAAATGTCCCCCCAAATAATAGCTATCAAGTATGAATCGACGTGCATTTGCTGTGACAGCTGCAAGTTATTTGCACCATGCACTGGTTCAGTTACCCTTCACCCTTCAACGTCCTTGAGAACTCTGAAAGCCAAAGGGCCCCATGCAGGGGGAAATCCCAGTGGTCAGACAGGTTTTGGTGATGATACTTGCTGCTCGTAATATGTCCACAAGGCAACCCCACAAGGAGGCATATATATGCTCCACTCTCACGTCTTGCCCTCTCATGCCACCTGGGGTTGTGGGGACACTCCCACTGTCCTCACAAAAAAAGCCTTTCTATAGGATCAAATGCTGCCCAAAGCAACAACTGTAGCTCCTGCTGCTGGTCTGAAGGGTCTTATAAGCACAATGAGACACACAAAAAGGGACAGACACCAGTTACCCAGACTGCAAGGGGTGGATGTTAAGGCTTGTGGGCAGGGCATACATACTGGCAGTCCTAGCATAGTTTCATCCAAGGTTTAAAAAGTACTGAGGGGGCCAGCCCTGTGGCCTAGCGGTTAGGTTTGGCCCACTCTGCTTTGGTGACCTGGGTTTGGTTTCCTGGTGCAGACCTACACCACTTGGCAGTGACCAAGCTGTGGGAGCAACCCACATACAAAATAGAGGAAGATTAGCACAGATGTTAGGTCAGGGTGAACCTTCCTCAAGCAAAAAGAGGAGAGGAGGATTGGCAAAAGATGTTAGCTCAGGGCGAATCTTCCTCAGTAAAAAAATAAATAAGCAGTATTCATATTTCTTTAAACGTAGATCTTTACTGAAGTGGAAAACAATGAGTGCTAAAACAATTAAGTTAAAATTTAAAACACCTCTGTCACGTTAAACAGTGGTGAGTTATTTTACCAATAAACTTTTTTTTTTAACTCAATAAATATTTTTCCTTTTCTGCATTAGGGGCAGTTCTGCCTGTAAGTTTGTAAATTGGTTGCCTTCCGAGATGGTTCCTAGTAGTATTATGAAACGGATTAAACTGCTTAATAAGCCTCGATCTATTCAGTCTGGAAATGATGCACACGAGACCTACTGAAGCAGTCCTAAAAGGCCTCTAGAGTGCGCCATAGAAAGGAGGGGTAAGTGAAGAGTGAGGCAGAGAAAGAGAAGACAAATTGTTGGTGCTGGGGGAGATGTCCCAAGGGAAGACATTCTTTGCTCTCCCCTCACTCCCCACCCGGGGTGTGTGCGCATGTGTGTAAGAGAGAGAGAGAGATTGATTCTACTATCCAGGTCTTACCCAGATCAACTACGTTAGAATCTCTGGGATGGCACCCAGGCATCAATAGTCTTTAAAGCTGCCCAGCTGATTCCAGTGGGTAGCCAAGTCTGTGAACTTGGGCCTGCATTGCTATCAGCTGGAGGGCTTGTTAAAACACAGATTACTGGGCCCTGTTCCCAGGGATTCCGATTCAGTAAATTTGTAGTGGGGCTAAGAATTTCCATCTCTAACTAGTTCCCAGGTGATGCTGATGCTGGTGGTCCCAGAACCACACCTGAGAACTCCTGGCTTAATGTATGAGAACCGGAGTCATCTCTTCTGACCCCGGGATGACGGTCATTCTATGACATCATGGAAGCAACGATCAATGGGAATCAATGGAAATTTTAAGTGTGTAAGTGTGTGTGTGAGTGAAGGGGGATGACATTAACTGGAGAGGTAGGTCGTCATGAGATCATTTCTGTTGCTGGAACTCACAATTCACTCTGTTCTACACCCTAAGTAGCCTTCACTCATGAAATACACTCCGGGGCTCCAGGCAGGGTGGTGACAGAGGAAAGCAGGACCTGAGGGAAGAATGGATTCTGGGCTAGCTTTAACTTTATCCATAGAAAATTCAGTGCTCCAGTGTAGCGGTCAAGACAACTAGAGAAGGAGCCTGCTTGGTCCTTCTGGTGCTCAGTAGCAGGTTGCCTCCCTTCCCACTGCATCCCCCTCTCCCCATCCTCTGAAAGCATGGCATTGTCTCGCCCCATCCCAGTTCTCTTTTCAAGTTAGAATGTTGCAAAGAAACTCCTCCCATGGTAAAAATAAGTCTAACTCCAACCCCTTTGAAATGAAAGAAGCTTCATCCTCAGCTCTGTGCTCATTGCCGATTTAGTTGCCTTGTTTTAGAAATGATTGGCAGGGATCCTACCATGACTTTCTCCACTAAGAACCCATCAAACATGCAGCTGGAAACAGGCAGCTCTGGGCAGGCTGAGGCCATATGGCTAGTTTTTGCTGGTGAAGACAACAGAGAAGTAGAGAGATCCACAGTTACAGCGTGACTCATGTGACCAGCACTAGGAGATGGCGGAGGCCCTGCCGGAACCTGTGGACCAACAGGGAACCATCTGAAACCTCCCATTAGAGAATCCATTTCTTTACGCAGTCTCCTCTTTTAGAATTCTACTTTATCATAGCAAACACTCCACACTGTTTGACACCTTACCCTTTCACTCACAGTCCATCCATATCAGAACATAAATATCTGCCCCATCCTTTTTCATAGTTGCATGATATTCCACCATAAGCACATGCTAGAAATGATCTACCTTGTCTTTGTTGAAGGATAATTAGGTGTTATCCAGACTTCTACTCTTATACACAATGCTATAATTATGATCCTTCTATATACAGCATAGTGATTTTTAAAATCACAAATCAGATTTTGTCACTTCTTCATAGAAACATTTCAATGGCTTCCCATCCCTTTCAGAATAAAATGCAAACTGCTTACTGACAACTATGAGGATTGACATGATCTGGTTCCTTTTCATTCTGATTTCATTTTATAATACTCACAATTTCACTTACTATATATTCCATTTACACTGGCCTTTTTATACCTTGATGTATGACATGCAGTCTTGCCTTTGAAACTTTGCATTTACTGTTCTGTCTGCCTGAAACAATATTCCCCAGGCTCTGAATGTGCATATTGTCATCACTGAGGTGTCAGACCAAATGTCCTGTCTTTGGCAAGGCCTTTGCTAACCACACTATTTACAGGAGATTCCTCATCTCCAGCTATCTACCATCACATCACCATATACCCACTTCACAATCTGAAATAATTTTGTTTTTATTTCCTTGCGTGTTGTCTGTATTGTCTGTCTTCCACTGAGCTCAGGAATCTTGCCTGATCTATCCACCACTATATTCCAGTGCCTAGAACAGTGTTTGGCACATTATTCAATAAATGTTTATTGAATGCATAAGTGTGTACTATTATTAAATAAGGAAGAACAAAGATGAATGGCACCGGTGGTAAAATTTTATGAGTGAAGGGGAGAAGTGATTCAAAGCTTCACCAGGGAGCAATGGCCTGTCTTAGTAGCCTTGATTATTTTATCCCAAATGTTCCAAAGTTTACTGCAGGAAAAAGGCCTAGAAACTGAAACACTGTGGGGCCCCTATCCTTCCAGGGAAGAGATGGCAGACTCTGAATGGGAGCGAGCCTGCTTGCTGGACACCCCCTGGATTTCATCACGCCATCTGCTGCTTGTGATTCCTCATCTGATGGAACAAAAGAGCCTGTCTCTGTGTTTACATATTTAGGGCCTTCTTCATTCCGACTCCATTCACCTTGTTTCTCACCTCAATAAAGGAGAGCCCTTATGCAAATCCTATATCCCAGTGAGATGGATTATTAAGCAATATTTTGGCATTTCCTCTCTCCTCATTAATGCTCCAATCTATTCCCCCACCCAAAATTCCAAGCAATTCTCTGGACAACTTAGGCCCCACCTCCTCCACGAAGCCCTTCAAAACCCCCAGGCCCACAGAGTTTATTGTCCATCCATTCATTTGGCCATGAGCACAGATGGCTAGAGAAATCTTTGCTATTGAGGTTATGACCACACTCTTACTCTTCAATGGCGATTTTAATGTGTATGTCTGACTTCTCCAGTTAGATTTTAAAGTGTGGGAACCACGTCTTACGATCTCTTGATTGCATCACAGGGATATTGACTTAGTGCTCTACATAGAATCAATGAGTTATATTTACTTTCTATAGTGAACAGTCAGTTTTTTACTCCAGCCCAAACCCTTGAAAATACTCCTTGAACAGATAGATAATTTACTTCCCCAAGAAAC